ATTTAATAAATTTAATTATTAATTAAATAATTCTTTAATATATTTAATAATTAGTTTAAAATCCTTAATAAGTTTAATTATTAATTGAATAATTACTTAATAAGTTTAGTTATTAATTAAATAATTTTTAATATATTTAATAATTAGTTTAAAATTTTTAATAAGTTTAATTATTAATTAAATAATTTTTAATATATTTAATAGTTAGTTTAAAATCCTTTAATAAATTTAATTATTAATTAAATAATTCCTTAATATATTTAATAACTAATTTAAAATTTCTTAATAAATTTAATTATTAATTAAATAATTCTTTAATATATTTAATTATTAATTAAATAATATATAATAGTAATTATAAGTATTAAAAGTACTTTAAACTTTTAATTTTATTAAAGTTATAATTATTTTAACTTTTTTTCTTTTTTTTATAATCCCTTTAATATTATATTATTTATTAATATATTTTAATAAACTTTTATATAAAATACTCTATTTAGAAAGTTTATTTATATAATAAATTAAAAATTAATATATAATTATTAACCTTATTTTTAATATATATATACTATTTAAACTTAAATAAAATTTTAAATCCTTTATATTAAAATAATTATTATAAGGATAATAAAAGTATTCTTAACTTTATTATTATTAATTATATTTATCTATATTATTATTAATATTTTATAAACTAATATACTTTATTAATTAATAATATATTAAATATAATATATATAAAAATATCTATCTTAAAAGATTTATTAAATAATATAATTTTATAATTATAAAAGTTTATAATATATTATATAGCTATTTTTATATTTAATATTTTATAAATATAATATAATTTTATAAGTTAAAATAATTTATATAAATAAGTATTACTATAAATAAGTAATATATTAAATATAATATATATAAAAATATATATTTTAAAGAGATTTATTAAATAATATAGTTTTTATAATTATAGAAAATTTATAATATATTATATAACTACTTTTATATTTAATATTCTATAAATATAATATAATCTTATAAGTTAAGGTAGTTTTTAAATAAATAAGTATTATTATAATAAATAATATATTAAATATAATATATATAAAAATATATACCTTAAAGAAATTTATTAAATAATATAGTTTTTATAATTATAAAATTTATAATATACTATATAACTACTTTTATATTTAATATTCCATAAATATAATATAATTTTATAAATTAAAATAACTTTATATAAATATATACTATTATAATAAATAATATATTAAATATAATATATATTTAAATATATATTTTAAAAGATTTATTAAATAATATAGTTTTTATAATTATAAAAATTTATAATATATTATATAACTACTTTTAATAAATTTATATTATATAAATATACCTTAAAGTTTAAAGTAACTATTAATATTTTAAAAACTATAAAGTTTAAAGAAACTTTTATTATTAAATACTTATATAGTAAATTAATATTATATAAGTTTATTATAACTTTCTTTATTTAAATAATTATTTTTAAAAAATAATATTATTATATTTATTATAATAAAACCTTTCTATTAATATAAGTTTTATTTTTATTAAAAGCCTTTAATAATATATATTATTAATTAAAATCTATAAATTAATTTTTTAATTTCTTATATAAATAAATTTTTAATAACTTTAAATTTATATTAAAATCTATTAAAGTATACTAACAGGTAAAAGGTAGTTAAAGGGATTATAAAGGACTATAGGTTAAATATTAAATTAGTAGCTATTAAGTTATAAACCTTATTATAAAGCTATTTAAACCTTAATTAAATATTAAGTTAATAGCTATTAAATTATAAACCTTATTATAGGATTGTTTAAACTTTAATTAAATATTATATTAATAGTTATTAAACTATTAAAGACCTTATTATAAAACTATTTAAACCCTAATTAAATATTAAATTAATAGCTATTAAATTATAAACTTTATTATAGGGTTATTTAAATTTTAATTAAATATTAAGTTAATAGCTATTAAACTATTAACGATCTTATTATAAGGCTATTTAAATTTTAATTAAATATTAAGTTAATAATTATTAGACTATATAACTTAAATATTAATTAATATATAATATATTTATAAGTATTTAACTTTTAAGTTTTAATTAAAAAATATATTTTAAGTTTTATAATACTTTTAATATTAATCTTATTTATTATAATTAATATTAAATTATTAATTTATTTATTATATTTTATTATAATTTAAATAAATAGTTTTATTTTATTATAATAAAAGTTATATAAAGTTTTATTATATATATTTATAAAATTTATATTATATTTTATATATATTAATTATAATTTATTTTATAACTATATATTTATTTAAATAAACTAATTATATATTTTTAATTTATTTAAACTATAATATATAGTAATTTTAAAGGTAATATATTAAATAGCTATTTTATTTAACTTTTAATAATAGTAAGAAGTATATATAAATATAAAACTAATATATATTCTCTTATTTTAATTTAAGTTACTTAAATAGTTTTGGTAATATATTAAATAATTTACTTTACTTAACCCTTAAATAATAATATAAAATATTATATTTTATATATAATAAAATATTTTTATATAATATAATTTAATAAAATAAACTTAATATATATATAATAATAAACATATATATAATAATAAACTTATTATTTATATTATTAAAATAACTTTAACTATTTTATAAAAGTATTATATAAAATTTAATTAATATAAATTATATTAAGTTTTTTTATTTTAAAGTAAAGTATTTTTATATATATATTTATTTTATATATATATATAATAATTATCCTTTACTTATTATTATTATATTAATATATATAAAATCTCCTTACTTAAATCTTAACTTTATTTATATTAATTTCTTTTTTAACTATATTTTATAACTAATTTTATAACTTTTCTATATAATTTTATACTTTCTTTTATAACTTATATCTTATTAAATTAATAGAATTTTAACCTTAAAAATAATATTATATTAAAAGACTTAATAATTATACTTTTTTATAACTTTTATTATATAATTTAATTATAATATATATTAATATATATTTTATTAATTAACTTTTAATTATAAAAGTTATAATATTTAGATTAAATATAGTTTTTATATAAATAGTTACTCTTTATATACAACTTTTAATTTTAATTTTATTTTAAAATTATACTATTAAGTTTATAAACTTCTTTTATAAATTAATTATTTAAAAATAATAAATAATCTTTTATTTACCCTCTATATTATACTAATAGATTTTTAAATAATCTAACTTAATTTATTATTATTTACTTTTAAAATAAATATAAAATTCTTATTATAACTATATTAATCCCTATTCTATTTATAAGAATTAATAATAATCTTTAAAGCTTTTATTATATTTATTATAATATACTATCTTATTAAAACCTTTTCTATTATTTACTTATTAATATAATATTTATTATAATATAAATATATAATTAGTTATACTATTTTAATTATACTATAATTATTATTCTTAATAGAATTCTTTTCTATTAATAATACTTTAATAATATCTTTTAATAAGTTATTTAATATCTATTATAAATATTAAAAGTTAATTTAAAATTATAATAATATTTTATATATAAACTTTTAAAACCTTTTTATTAATTAATATAATATTTATAATAATAAGTAAATTAATTAATTAATAATAAAATATTTAATATTAATTATAATAATATAATATTAAAAAACTATTAACCTATATACTTTAATTAATTAAGTTTATAAATAGTATCTTCTTACTCTATAAATATTTATAACTTTAATATTTATTATAAAATATTATTATATAATATTATTAATTTAAAATATAAGAATATTTATTAAATATAGTTAATATAATAGTCTTTAAAAGGTTTAAATTATAATTTAATACTTTAATATAATTATTTTATAAATTAAAATTATAAAAATACTAATTATATAAAATCTCTACTATTTACTAATAAACTAATAAAGTATAACCTTAATATTTAATATAATAACTCTATTTAAACTTTTAATTTTAAATTATTTAATCCTTTTATTATTAAAAGTTAATATATAAAATATAAATAACTAATAAGTATAATAAAAGTTAAAAATAAAATTAATTAATAAACTATTATTATTATTTTAATTTTTATTAATATAATTATAAACTTAATATAATTATAATTATATAATTATTAATATAATTATTATGAAAATAATAAAATAATAAAATAAATAATAATTAAATATTAAAATAAAAAAATTATTATATTTAATTAAAAGAAGAATTTCTTATTTTTATTTAATTTAAAAATAAATATATAAATACTTAACTTAACTTATATAAATTAATTTTCTTTTATTTCTATTAGATAATATATTTATTATAAAATATAATAGTAAGAAAGTATTTAATATATAATTTTTAAGATTACTTATAAAGTAGATTTAATAGGTATATAATATTATATAGTATATATATAAAAAAATATTAAGTAAGTAAATAGTAGGAATTAGGTAAGTAGATATAATTACTAGATAAGTAGATATTAGCTTATAAAAAAATAAATATAAATATTATTATCTTTATTAACCCTCTTTATTTTATTTATTATATATATATTGCTATTTATTCTAATAAAAACACTCTACTATATAGTAGTAGGCTTGTATGAATATTAATCTCGCTTATTTAATTAAAGTTTTTTTAACTACATTACTAGAAAAACCAGCCTCGAAAAGAAAGCAACGATTCTCTTGTTTTCCTACAACAACGGCGGCACGTGCACTACAGGGGGGGCATGACACAGACAGTTGGTGGGCGGACGCTAGCTCCTTATTGGGCATAGCCCACGACTACGGAGTACAAAAGGACCCACCCCCCTTCTCAATCGCATCAATCCCACCAAGCGTTGGTTGTCTACTCATTGTCGCCCCGTGCCCGCGAGCTCTAGTCGCAACGGCCCACGCCATTATCAATCTGTAAAGTTGCATCGTATTATCGCTGTCTGTCGGAAGCTATCACGGAAGTTTCCGCATCAGAACCAAGCATGCCGCTACCAAATCCCGGGGATATGTCGGCAGGGCCGGTACGGATACTGGTGCAAACAGTAACACATCTTGTGCCCGGAAACGATTATGCGGAACGAATCGAGTATATGCAAAACCTTATTTGTCAGCATCACTGGAAGCGCGACTTCGATTGGGACCAGGATCGCTGGAACGTGTACGGTAGTAACCAATTTGCGTTGCGGAACCGCAACTGCTACTTTCTCATCGATCATGGCCATAGCGAGGGAGATCCTCCAGTTCTGTGGTACAAGTGGACGGGAGAATCACTGTTAGAAGAACCTCGCTGCAATATGACAGCATCAGTCTACTAATACATGAGTAGCATTGCTATGGAACAAGCCCTGCCCGAGCAAATAAAGAAAAAATTGGAACGTTATCCATTCTCGATGCGACCAGTTCAACGCCGGGAAAGCGAAAGGCCTGCAGGGTTTGATACAAAAACCCATCGCCAGATTATTCTGACGAAACTCCGTTCCGATATGACCATCACAGATGACGATGTTCAGTTCTTACAGGCGCAACCAGAGGCCGCAAGATGGCTCGAGGATAATGCCGAGCCTCAACTTTGGATGAAGATTCAGTCCCTATTGGAGTCAACTCAAGACGGTAGCAACATATGCGCCGATCCGGCAGATACGTTGAAGTCATGAAGTCGGGGTGGAAGTCCACGACAGGCCAGCGGACGTCTGTCCCGAAATCTTACACTTGGGGGTGGGAATGCAGATTTAAAGACGACGTTCCTCCTGTCAGAGAGAAATGAAACCAATGGCACTGTACACAAAACCAAGAGATCGCAAATGCTTTGATTTCATAAGCATGCGAGCGAACGTGATATGTATTGTTGGCTCGCTAGAATTGAAAGAGCAACTTCCCTATTAGCACTGTCCACCCCATCGCGTTCTCAACTAAGCTGAAGACAAATTTGAGTAAAAAGAGAGATTCCGTCACCTGATCGAACACATAATGTTGCAGTATTGAAAATAATCCTCCTAAGTACAGATTTGTTCTGCCAGAGCCCTGTGGAAAGAAGAGGAGCCTGCGACGCGGAATAGGGTACCAGGGGGAATAGACGAAGAAGCAAGCGAGAAGATGGAGGGCTATTCGGGCACGATATTTTACGAAGTGAAGACGTAATAATACAGCGGATATAACAGGAGAAAGGAGTGGATTGTTATTCTAGCTAAAAAATTCAAAAAACAGAGCAAAGGGCCGCCTTTCATAGCCGGGCCACGGGCTTAAGGAGCGTGCTACACTACACCTCAGAACAATATCAACCCCAGATATGATCAATAGTATCCATGACAGTCGCAGTCAACCCTAACAGTCCGCCGCTGAGTAACCGTTCGTTTCCCGGTCCCCTGGCAATGGGCGCATTCACAGTTCCTAGTACCCCAATATTCTGTGTCCCTGTTGCATGCAGAAGTATGACCACGTGAGGTGCAATTGGTTCCACGCCCATGGCACATATCGCAATCAACCCGTACACTGACCGACTGGGTCTTCGTGTAGGTACCGCGTCCACGGCAATATTGGCAATGTGGGTTAGGCCTCCATTCAGCCTGAGAGCGTGAACTAGAGCCTGACGAAGATGATCTAGATGGCGGCATGGTGGCAGTCTGCTTTGCCTTCACGGAACTGCGAATGTCAGCATACACAACGTGCCCGATCTCGACCAATGTTCCTTACGAGACAAGCTTCCTAGGTAGGAGGGAAGTGTTTGGAGAGCAGGTGGCTTTACTAGCAGAGGACTTGAATCGAATTTGTGGGAACGAGTAATACGAAGAGCGATATTTTCAGGTTCGGAACGGGTCGAACAAGACAGAAGGCCGAGGGCTACAGGACATATTTATACATTTCAATGGCCTCTGATCGACCAACTTCGTCTACACAGGCAGTTTCTCAGATGGCTTGACTTCTAATCCCATGCATGTAAAACGTGTGCGGCGCATTCATGCATCGGTAAACACTCAAGACCCAGCGTTTAAAAAAAGATACAGTGCCAATAACAGGACAGAGAGAACACACCTGGGCAGCACGTCTCCAGATGTCAGCATCGTATCCAGGCAATCCCCCGATGGTTCCTAGACGGTGTGTTGGTTGACGAAACTCTTCCTACGACCAAGCCTCTGGCCATGGCCACCGTTCAACCAATTCCGTCCACATAGGCAATCCCCTATTGGTTTCTCGATGGTATGTTGGTTGACGAAACCCTTCCTACGGCTCAGCCTTCAGCCATATCTACCGGCTAACTAAACTAGTCTACACAGGCAATCCCCTGTTCGTTCCTGGAGGGTGTGTTGATCGACGAAATCCTTCCTACGGCCAAGCCTCTAAGTAGCCAGACCTTCCGGCTAACTAGATTCGTCCACACAGGTAACATTTAAACCCTGCTGGTTCCTGGAAGGTATGTTGGTCGACGAAACCCTTCCTACGACCAATCCTTGCAAGCCTCCGGCCATGGTCACCCGCCTGACACCAAATCCTTCTCCCAGGCCGCTAACAGTGAACCACATGTATTGGTGATGTTGACTTTTGGTGGGCTGGGGTTGGTCGACAAGGCTAGGATCCTCTGGACCTGTCGTTCTCACAATTGCGACAAGTCAGACGAAATAGAAACACCATCACAGCCAGCTTGTTGTATCGGAGATATCTAGGTATGGGTCGTATTGGTCGACGCCAGCCCTGGAGGAAACCGTTGTCATGCAAGGAGGGATCTGGGCGCTGCTCGGGTGCGCCCGTCTGAATTGGACTTGCTGCACTTCCCCATAATTCGGCGCATCCGACGTACACGAGGTGCATACCATGCGTGTGATATGCGGAATGATGTGGATGGAATTTAAAAATAGAGCCCTCTAACATAATATACTTAACGTAATATAATTTAGGAAATAGCTAATAGTAAATATAAATATTAAAAAAAACTACTAGCCTCTTAAAGATTTATATTACTAAGTTAATCTTAGTATAATAAATTTATAAATTAAATAGTTAAAGTATAAGTTTAATAAAATATTATTATAATATATTTTAAATATATATTTTATAATATTAGAAAATATTTATTTTAATTATAAGTATTATAAAAGAATAATAAAATATAAGTTAAGTTTCTTAAAGATATTAACTTTAATAATATTTTTAACTTTTAAATTAAATATTATTAAAACTTTTATAAAAATAATTTTTATTAATTATTAAGTATATTAAGTTATTAAAGATTATTAAAATAAATTAAAATATATTATATTATTTTATATAATAAGAAAAAGTTAATATTTACTCACTTAATAATTATATCTACTTATTTAATTCCTACTAACTACTTACTTAATATTAATTTTTTTAAGTAACTCTCTTATATTTATAAGTACCTTTTAAGTTAGTATTAAGAGACCCTATAGTATAATTTCCTTCTCTAATTTCAATACTTTAAGTATAAACCCTTTTTAGTATACCTTCTAGTACACCTTCTAGTACACCTTTTAGTATGCCTTCTAGCCTATATATATTTAAATACTAACTAAGTATTTAAATACTAACTAAACACTAAAAGGTTAGAAGTTTAAAGGGTTAGAAGGTTAGAAAGAGAGCTAGAAGGTTAGAAAGTATATAATCTTTACCTTTTTAACTTCTAGCCCTCTAGCATTTAGTTAGTATTTAAACACTTAGTTAGTATCTAAATATATGTAGGTTAGAAGGCCTAAAAAGTAAAGGTGAAGGGTTTTAGAAGGTGAAGGTAAAGGGTTCTAGAAGGTAAAGGTAAAGGGTCCTAAAAGGGGTCTTAAAAGGGGTTTAAAAGGGGCTTATACTAAAAGTATTAAAAATTTAGAGAATTTTAGTTAGGTATATAGTTTTATATAGGCCCTATATATAAATTCTTATATTAGGTAAGTAGTTGAAAAAAATTAGGTAAATAGATATAATTATTAAATAAGTAAATATTAACTTAATAAGAAAGTATAATATTTAAATAAAACATTTATATAATATTAAAGTTTAAATAGATTATAATTAAACTATTATAGTTTATAAAAGAATAAAGCTTTAAAGTTAATTAAAAAGTAAATTTTTATAATACTTTATAATATTATTATTATAATAATTAAATAAAATAAAATTTAAATAGTTATTATATTTATTTTAATATAATTAATAAAGTAAAATACTTTTAATATTATATAATTAATAGATTAATAAAAGAGTTTTAAGAAATATAAATAAAGTTATAAATCTTTAAAAGAATATAAAATTTTATTTATAAATAAGTTTTAAATTTATAAAATAATTTATAAAATAATATAATAAAAATAATTTACTATAATATTATTAATATTTTAATATTAAAACTAATATAAATTTAATTATCTTTAAAATACTATTAATTTCCTTTAATAAAAGTAGATAATAATATATAAGTAACACCTAAACTAAGCTCTAACAATAGCTCTTCAACATCTACAACTCAGAATCCTAATATCCGGCCAGGGCAAGCTAGTTTCAATATCACACAGCAACAATCATTAAAAGAATACAAAGACACACTAAATAAACTAAAATTACACCCACCACCCCATCCTCCTACTATTAAGCAGACAATACTACCGCCACTAAAAACAACTATAACTAGCCCGATAGTCCTTAGGACAATAGGGCCACAACACACACTAAGATCTAAATCTTGTAAAAAGCCTTAATCCAAACTTACCTAAACCTAGTAAAAATTAATTGCCACCAACCCAGCCCTTATCCATCCCAAGAAAGGCTGTTATAAAGTTATCAGCCTAATGACCATTGTCTTCTACTTCATCTTCATACTCAAGGGGGTCCAATAGGTCAACATACTCCATTTCTACAGCAGGCGCTCATTATTACTATATCCACAATAAAGAAGAACAAAAGAACTTATTAAAAAGGTAATTAAATAGCTTTAATAAGTATAAACCGATATAACTATAGAATGGTAAAACTAATATCCCTTTAAAGAAGGGATTTCTTTTTAATAAATTTAAAATGAAAAAAAAGAAAGATGAAAACCTTAGTTATAATTAAGACTTAAACCCTAATAGAGCTAGATTAGCAAGTATAGCAGTTATAGTGTGGTTTCGCTTCTATTCCGTATACGTCCGAGGACATACATGGCGCCTTCATAAGGTGGTAAGCACTCACAGCAGTTACAGTATAGTAATTTCTAGCAGCGTAATTTGATTTAGCATCATAAAGACTCTTGATTATATTCGGTCCTCCATTCCACCTGCTGAGTTCAGGCCATGTGGTATGTTCTCAATTCAAGAGCGGCCAATGTTGTATCTTGGTGTATAAACCTGCGGCAGCTATCCTCTTTGTAGAAACTGCACACTTTGTGTGGATGTGTACAAAGGAAAAGAGGTTATGAAGACGGGACCGAGAAAGAAGAGTCCAAGCCCTACGCACTGTCTTGCAACGGGGATTCTGGTGAACGTGACCGTGTTCCAGTACTACTCCGAACTCGTTCCGGTGATGGAGTCCCGAGGTCTGTGTCAGGCGGGTCCGGAGGAGCGATGGCCACGTCGCCAGGGGCCGCGGGGTGGTCCCTGTGGTCGACCCTGCGACCCATTAATTCTTCATCCGGGTCCCCTTGGTCCAAGTACATGAATCCGTTCCTCTCGTATGCCCGTCCTATAGCCCTCGCCCTCTCGTCCAATGGCATTGTCACACCCGGATTTGCCGAAGAGGCCCATTGGCTGCGATACGCCGGTCCCAGTAGGCCCGGCTCCAGGAGGACTACAGTATCTAGAGTCAGCAACTAAAGCAGGAAGGAAGTTGTTCCATTGAAAGAGGGGGAGAGGGAAGCGAGGAACAATTGCGGCCATAGAGGGCTGCTTACTGGTAAGTGGCCTGCCAAGATTGTATGCTTTCATGTAAATTGTCAGCTTTCTCTATAGCCAACCTGTGCTCTATTAGCTCCGGGCGATGCCGGAGACGACTTACGTTCTGGTAGTGTCCCGCCCGCCATTAGCCTATAAAACAAATCGAAGCCTTGGTCGATGATACGCTGTCCTGTGACCTGTGACCGGGGCGATATTAGAGCCTACCATTGTATAATGTACGCTAACGATTGCTAAGGGCTGGAGAATGTGATTATGGGAATCAAGCAGCCGGGGTGGCACTAACGTTGTCATCCAACCATATCATAGGTATATAGACGATGTCAGTATTGCCATGAAGGCTCGCCCAGGGTGCGGTAAAGCCCCTCTGAATTGAAGGGCGCGGGAGGATCATCCCATCTTGGTCTGCGGTGATCTCCTCATCTAGGTCCCCCCGTGCGAAGAGCCTGCTGAAGAAGATTCGCATATCTGAGAAGGGCACGTCGTCGTTAAACCGCTCACCAAAGTCGCCCAGCAATAGATCTATCCAATCATCCGAACTTCGGTCCACCCACCAGGCGTGAATAAAGCCTATGAATTGCTCTTCCTGCCCCGGGCGTGTGAGGAACATTTCCCCGAAGTAACCCGTCCTTCCCGTGGGCGTCGGGTCTATGTAGACCTGCAGCGACATGCGTAGTGTAGCTCTGGTTCTGCTGCGGTGAAGCAGTATGTCTGATGTCCCTCGTGCCTCAGCTATGACCACAGTGCTGGGATGTCTCCGCTCTTGTGGTCTGGCACGTGTGCGAGGCAATGCACTATCCGCAGCCACATACGGGCCGTGCAAGGGCTGCGTCTGGGCGGGTATGGCTGTAGGAGCCACCGGGACATGGCTCTGTGCACCTCCTAGGCATCCATATGAGCAGTGGCAATTTTTGAAATCATTTTTGAGCCTCCGGAGCTGGTCCTGGAGATGCTTCTGGCGAAGGAAGAGGGACCAGCGGTCGTTACGCAGTCGCGATCGGCTAGTGCAGACAGTAGCCATGATAACGCGAGTCTTTACTCCTTTTCGCGTAGAGTCTGACGCGAATTAGATGGAGAATTGACAAAATGATCATGTGTGCGCTAGAGTACATCATTTCAAGGGTTTCATTGAGGTGCTCCGACAAGCTCCAAATGCGTCGAGTCTTCAAATGCTTTGTTGCCATGTGCTGACAGTATGGACAAAGAGGGCAAAATTGAACATGTTCACCATTCGTCATGGGGATTAAGTCATAAGCGCTTTTAAAGTAATGGAGAATCTACAGTGAATTGGAGTTTTGAATGCAATATCTATAACCCAAGATTGTGGATGTTACAGCGATGACCTTCGGTGAGCCTTCGCGTCGATTGGCTGCGATGATCCACTCGTAGCCATGATTAGGCTGCCGCCCCCTATCCGTAAATCAGCGTTTCTGTTGTAGGTAATGGGTGGGCTCAAACAATGAGGCACAGTGCAGGCGAGAGCCGTCGGTTGTCCTCCGACGAACGCTGTGCAAGACCCAGCCCCATCGGTTCTTTGAGATGGCAGAAACCGGAATAGCTGGAGGATCCTCAATACGTGAATAGCCCTGGAATTGAACCCAATAATGGAGCTTGAAATATTTGTAAAGATATCCATCTTTGCATTAGGCGTTTGGCGGCCTCAGGACCTCTTCAGCGGCCGTTTGACCAATAGGATGTCGTACCGAATCGGCGCCCACACGCCGGAACAACGGCCAAGGTCAACGTCGACAGGTGGGTATAACGATAACCGGTGTTGGTGCAAGCTTAAGGCAGCCGTAGGCACCTATACATAGGTGCTTCCGAGCCCTTCTGCAGGCACCTAAATACAACCAACCTACTTAGTGTACACCACTCTTAATCTCTCTCTCTACACGTGCGTGAAGAGTGCCAGTTGGCAACCAGAGGAATTCATCAATGAGAAAAGGCAGGATACGTAAGAATATGTCGGGTACCCTGACTGATTCAGCAATTTATTATAAGCAATATGCAGGCGCCAAGCAGGTATAGACATTTGTGCGGCTAGGCTTGCGATATCGCCTTGGCTTTGCTTGCAGTTTCTGAGTGCTTGTCACCAAAGCCAGCCCCATTGGAGTAGCCGCGCTGGGTCTTGGTTGGACCTGAGCAGGCTGGATGGGGATGTGCGATTGCAGGATGTAAGGGAGATGCACGACCCGGCCAAGGGCGTTCATTGGATGTTGTATTTGTTTGCGGCTGCATAAAGTTGGCGAGGTGGCTGAAGCAGTGATTATAAGAGGTGCTTCTGTGGATGGCCATAGCTTCGTCATTGATTCCGAACACCTGCAGTGCATGCCAGTGCCAAAGATGCTCTCATCTAGCGTCGGTAATGAACGTTGGCCCCAGAGAACTTTAGGAACTGAACCGGGCTACAATAAGACAAAAAAAAGAAGGGATAGTTGTTGGGCTTGATTCGACAAAAGGCCATCTGTGAACGGCGTTGCACAATGATTATTGTTAGTGGTGTTGGAGCAAGTCATCCATCCAGTCTCGACAGACCCGACCTCGAAGGTGCCAGGTCCATCCCGCCTGCCCGCAGACGCTCGACAGACGACGTGCCCGCACCCAAGTACCCCACCTGCGAACCAGCGCGGGGCAGTGACTTTTCACCTCACTAGCGGGCTGGAGGTGGATGATCCCAGCTCCTGGGGGAGAAACAGCAGCAGCAGCAGGTGCCGACGGGGAGAGCTCGTCCTATGATTTTCTTATCCGCGGTAGATTTCTGTCGTCGGCTGCAACTCTGCTGCGTCGTCAGATGGGCCCTTCGCTTCAGCCTCACCGTTGTACAGTGCAACGCCGCTGAGCTCACCTCCCGTGTTCTCTGTCTGCAGTTTTGCTGTCTGTCTGTCCTCACCTCTCGCCCGCCCGTTCTCTTCCCTCTCCCACGCGGGCCAAGTTGGGTCGAGTCGATTCGAGTCGAGCATCACCTCCCGGACAGCCCCACCAGCAACCAGCAGAGCAGCACACTTGACTACCTGACTACCTGACGACCTGACGACCTGACTGTCTGCCTGTCTGCCTGACTGCCTGGTCACGAACCCAGACGTCAAGTCACGTCACAATCTCAACCAAGCCTGAGCTGAGTTATTACTAGCCTAAACCACGCACTTGACCTGCGCACGCCTACTACAGATACTGCCAGTGCTGCCAGCGCCAGTGCCAGCCGTGCCCTCACCTGTGCCCGCCTTTCTCCAACTCGGGCTAGCTCCACCCAAGCAGCGTCAACCCACGCCGCCTCTGCACTCAACCGCTCGTCTTTTTGCAAACCTACTGCTGCCCCTCCGCACGACCTCGATTGCGTCCAAGGGCTGTCAAGGCGACGATAACTTGCACTGCAGCGCTTGTCCAGTAGCCGTTTAACAGTCGCCCTACCCACCTGTCTGCCTGGCCGATCTGTTCCTGATTTGTTCTTGCTGGTGGGCCGTTGAGTGCGTGCACAACAAAACCACGAGCGTCCTCTGACAAACCCACCCGACATCGCCGTTGCTCGAGTAACCATCCCAACCTTGCTCGCCCGCCCTCCCCAGTCCACCAAAAAAGCCGACCGCGCACCGACCGATCCTCGCCAACCAGCCAACTCCCTGGGGCAGAGCAAAACCTCCCGCTGGCCTGGCCAACCACCCACTGCCTCACATCTCTGGCCAGCGCCTTCGAGGCCCGCCTCATTCTCCCCCTTCCCTTCCCTTGCCGCGAGCAAACGACCCCGACCCGACCCCGCCGCCAAAATGCCCTGCTTCAAGGGTATTGCGGTGAGCATCCACGCCAACGGGACCCCGCTCCCAGAGCACGGCATGCAGAAGCAGTCCAAGTTCTCCAGGATCAACACCTTCATACCCGTCCCCAGCCCCACCCTGAGCGAGGACTCTGGCAAGACCGAATCCGCAAAGTTCGCCATCTCCATCACCCTGCTGACCCCCGGCCTGCCCATCCCATACTCGACCCCGAAACCCACTCGCGACAATCCTGATCCCACGCCGCAGTATGCCGCCAGGGACATGGCCTCCAGCAGGGCTGGCAACGGCGTCAACCCCTACATCCCCATGACCAACAGCGACAACGAGACCGTCGCCGCCTACATCTACTTCGACGGCCGCGCAAAGGAAGAGGTGGCAACACTGCTCAGGCCCGGCGAGGAGACCTGGGTCAACAGCAGATGGGTCCAGGTCCCCGACTCCGAGGGCGGCGGCCTGGCCGAGAGGGAATTCCTGTTCCGTGAGGTCGGCCTGGAGCGGTGGCTCAACGGCCTCGACCTCAAAGGCCACGACGCCGAGGAGCGGCTCGAGAGGCGCCGCCAGAAGTTCGAGCGCCGGCGCAGGAAGCAGAGGGGTGAAGGCATGGGTGCCCTGCTGGGCGACTCGTCAAATGGGCCCCGAGATGCCTTCCGCTACGGCAACGACGAGGGGAGCCCCGTCGAGGCTGTCTTCGACGAGGACTCCATGTCTGATTCGGACGACGAGTTCCCCGAGGCCGCCGGCCAGATCAAGGTCGCCATGTTCCGCGTCATAGCGTCTGGCGAGATCAAGAAGGGCGAATACTCCCCGCAGTTTGGCGCACACGACGACGATGACGAGGTCAATGGCGGCAACTCCAACGGGGTCGACGCCGATGTCGAGCACACTACGAGTTTCGCGAAGCCCAAGACTCTCGATCCCAAGACCATCAGCACACAGACTGTCACTGGTATCGATGGGCCAGAGAAGCCCTACGCCACCTTTACTTTCTACTACCGTGGCGAGCGTAAGTACACCTTTCCCGGGGCACCTGACGAGCACCACCTGAACACCAGCTAACCCCCCCGCGTACAGGCCAGCTGCAGAAGATGGGGGTTTTGCCCTCGGCCAAGTCACAAGCAACCACACCCGCAGCAGCGAAGCGACGGTCCGGCCAGCTCGACTTCTCCAACCTTGGCCCTCTCAAGACGACAGGTACGGTCGGGTTCTCCGCCTTCAGGGACCAAACAGCAGAGTCGTCCAAGAGGAGAAAGGGCCGCACCAAGTCGAACGGCAGTCTCGGCGCTATGGACGAGGACTCGGAAGAAGACGAGGACGAACCAGAGATCCTCGGCAAGATGGAGGACATCGACGATAAGGAAGTCAAGCCGAGCACAGCGCCCGAGGATGTCAAGTTCACCGGTGAATTGGCCGAAGGTGTCGACCGTATTAAGGTATTCTCATCCGTGCCAGTCTTTCCCTCGAGTGTTAATGAGATGCTGACAAACTTTACAGCTTAAGCGGCAACGGTCAGCCGAGCCAGAAGGCACCGCCTCACCCGACGCCAAGTCCCCCAACCTGAGCGCAGCGACATCCCCTCCCAACATGATATTCGGCGCCGGCGGCGATGGCCCGCGCTCCTCGGGCCTGGCCCCGCCCTCTTTCTTCCCGACAAACCTATCCGACGAGATCGCGCCCGCCGGCAGCCCGCTCAAGAAGCAGCGCGCCGGGACCCTGGACGACGGGTCTGGCCAGCCATCCCAGCCCGCCCTGGGGGTCTCGCAGCCCAAGGTCTCCTCGTCCGCGCCGGCCGTGCCGGCGGCCCCCCTCGCGCAGAGTAGTGCGCACGACGACGAGGAGGAGCTATAGATGCGCGGCCACCATACCATACCAGTTTAGCACTGCATCTACTCCTAGATGTAGGACAGTTCTCGGGTATATGTTATCGGCAGCGGAACCCAGCGTGTCATTCTTGAAGACCCCTGTTTGATCATTTGATTGGGTCCTCGAGTGTCAGGATATCCTCTCACGGAAATGGAACTACCAGCAGCGCATTTTGGGACCCTACCACCGGATGGCTTGAAAGCGGACCGGGGGACCTCCCAAAAAGAGGGGGAAAAAAGAGAAAAGAAAAGAAAAAGCCGGGTTGCCACAGGCCCCCTTGACACCAGATGGAAGGAAGAGCGGAGGAGAAAGCGCCGGGGCAATTCTTCGAGCCGAGGGACTCCCACATCTTTGCTGGGTGAAAGCAAGTGGGGGTTTTTGTGGCCAACTGACACTGGATGGGGACGGACACGCTGAGTCGTCAAGTGTAAATACCCCAATATAACCAAAAAATTGCAAAAAACACAGGGCCTCCAAGATGAAGATTCGCGCCTACTTCCTCTGTGCGGGGGGTGGGTTTTCTGGGTGGCTGCGGTTTTCTCGAGCAGCAGCAAAACTACAACAGCAGAAGCAGCATCGTCGTGCGTACAGCATGGAGTTCGGGCTCACGGGCAAACCTGTCGTCTTGTGCTTGCCTAGTTGCCTCTCTCTCTGGAAGTGAAAATGCGGTTGGTTGTGGTGGTGGTGGTCGTGGTGAAGAAGACGATGGATGCTCCCAAGCAGAACAGGGACATGGAAGCAGAGCCAGGTATGCGTCGAGGGGGCGAGTGAGATTGGGACAAGGGGGCTGGCGGGCATGGATGCCGGAGGCTTTCTTGGGGGTGGGTAATCAGGAAGGAAGGTAGAAGGAAGGAAGGAAGGGGAAATGGTGGTTGGTTAGGTGGACGAGTTCTGCGTTGAAAGGCATGCATTTGGGGGGCGGCGTAGGGTAATAGGGTAATGTGGTGGGTGGTTGTTATGCGTGCTTCGGAAACAGGGGTGAGGAGGAAGAGGGATACTTGTGGATCTCTGATCCCCCTCCCCTTCAACACCATTTTCGAGCGGATGTTCTGTGGCCTTGTGGTCGAGGTAGACGATGCTCGCTCTTCCAATCGAGCGGAAGGGAGGAGATGGGAATACAGGGTCGGTCATCACACGGGGTGAACTTTCCCCCACTTCCCCCAGCCAAAAGAAGTCAATGATAGATATTTCTCCCCTTCTTTTTTTCCTTTGACAGACGGGGCCGTTGAGCACTGGAGGGGAGGCTTGTTGTCCCCCCACCCCGCGTGTATGGATCCGCGTTGAAGGTGGTGGAGGTGTTGGATGTTGAATTTGGGCATGGCATGGCGTGCGACGGCGCTGTTTCGCGTTGGGATGTGTATTGCTTGCTGTGGGTGTGGGTGTGTGAGTGAGTGTGTGTGTGTGTTGTATGCTGTAGCTAGGGTATCGGGCCTAAATACCCTGTCCTCTTGGTTTCGGGGCGAATTGCTGAATATTCAACGTTCAGACTAGGTGATATCTTTTATTAAATAACCTCTTTTCCTTGATGCTGGCGTTGATCTTCTCCCCCCCCCCCCTCAACAACTAGATCGATGTGGTCGTCAGGGTTCGGGCTACCGACTTATGTAAGCAAGAGTGGTCCCGCAATCCAACATCTCTAAACTGCAAATTTTCGAACGGGCACTGCAGAGCTTTCCTTTCTCTCCTCTCCTCCAACCACGGCGCGATCCTCGAGGGCTCTCCCTCGAGGGTCTTTGACGCCATGCACGCACCGCACCATCTAGGCTGTGTCAAGGTAAGCTCCTCGTCGCATTGTTTCCTTCTTCTGTCGCCACGACCGCCCACGTTGCAAAATGATGAATCAATTTTTCCATTAAGAACGGCCAACTGAAAGTCAAACCCATGTTGATCCAACTTATCAAGCTCAACAGTCTGAATTTTTGCACACAATTGTTTATTCACATTCCTCTGAACATGCTGCAGTTTACATTGATTGCTAACTCGGGAGGAACGAAACAGTGACACGGATCAACCCCCCACCGCCATGTTGTGATTTGTTGTGGCCGGCTACTCAACCCTCTCGAACCACACGAGCCCCTCGACCGTATCCTCGCCAGGCTCGACCGCAAGCCACGTGACCCCCAGCGCGTCGGCCCTGCCGCCAGGACCGACGCGGAACTGCGCGGGGGCGTAGTTCCTGTCGGCGACGCCGTCGGGCTGGCCCAGCGTGTGCAGGAACATCATCCAGTACTCGCCCGAGACGTGCTCGAACTCGCTGTAGGTGGGCCAGGTGGCGTCGCGGCGGGTGGCCGTGAGGGTGGCGTTCTTGTTGATCAGGGCCGTCTTGCCGTCGCCGAGGGCCAGCTCGACCGTGATGTTTAGGTAGCCCGGGTGGAAGTACGTCCCCGTGTAGGCCTCGAGGGGCAGGGCCGGCGGGATGCGGTCTTTTTCGCCCCTGGGCCGGTCTGGGTAGTATGTGTCTATTGCCTTTGAGACCTTGTCGTCCCAGTCTTGTTGTTGTTTTGTGAAGCTGGGCGGGAGAGAAACAAACAGGAATAATGTCAGCATTTATTCATGCAAGATCGTGGAGAAACAACCTACCTCGCACGCCAGTCATACCTCTCCGCCTCGGGCACCCCGAGCCTGTCGTCGACCAGCCCCCAGACGAGCAGCAGCTCGACAAGGTTAGCCGTCCCGGCCGTGTTGCCCAGCGCGACGACGCCAAAGTCCAGGCCGGGGAAGAAGAACACCTCGGCCCCGTACGCGTGCATGCCGCCCGCGTGCGTCCAGAACCGGTGCCCGCGGTAGCTGGTCGTCTCCCAGCCCAGCGCATACATCATGGGCCCGTCGTAGGGCGAGCCGCCACCGGGCAGGGCCTCCCCCGGCGCCACGATGGCCCGCGGCGTCTTGACCGCCGCATGCCCCGCCCTCCCCAGCGGGCCCGCCTCGCGGAGCAGGCTGCGCACCCACAGCGCGTAGTCGGCGACGTTGGAGATGACGCTGCCCGCGCCGCCGACCTCGTCGACGGGCATGTACGGCACGCCCGAGAAGTTCTGGTGCGTCCTATCCCACACGTAGCCCCCCGCGAAGTGCTCCGGCGCGGCGAGGGCGTCCGGCACCGAGAAGTAGGTCGACCGCATCCCGAGGGGCAGCCAGACCCAGTCGCGCAGGAGGTCGCCGAGCCAGGCGCCGCCGGCGAGGGTCTGGGCCGCGTGGCTGGCCGCCACGTACATCTGGTTGCAGTACTGCCACTTGGTCCGCGGCGGGGCGTTGAGCGGGAGGTAGCGGAGGGAGCGGGTGCCGTCGCGGACCGTGGCCGTGCGCTTCTGCCCGGTGGCGGTGTCGACGACCTGGTGGGTCGAGGCCTTGTCGTGGCGGGGGAGGCCGGTCCGGTGGCTTAGGGCGTCCTCGATTGTGATGTGGGTTGTTGCCCAGGGGTCGGCGAGGATGAAGTCCTGGTGGGTTTTGGGGGTTGGGTTAGCCTGTTTGGTTTATTGGACTTTGTGTGTGTGTGTGTGTGTGTGTGTGTATGTGTGAGATATATATATATATATATGTATGTATGTATGTATATATAGAGAGAGAAAGAGAGGGAGATCAAGAGACTTTGTTTCCCCCGAGCATCAACGGACGGACGAACAGCTTACCTCCGGAATGATGTCGTGCATCTTGGTGTCCCAGGCGAGCTTCTGCCCGTGGACCGCGGGGGCCGTGTAGTTGCCCGAGTCGATCATCATGGCCAGCGCCGCGGCCGTGAAGGCCTTGCTCGTGCTGGCGCAGTAGAAGAGCGTCGAGGGGGTCACCGGCGTGGAGGGGAAGGTTGCTATGCCGAAGCCCTGGGTGTGTGTGTGTGTTATCATATGATGCTCGTGTCTTGTTTGTTTGTGGTCGATGAGGCCATCACGGTATATCAATGGTGATGAGTAGTGGGTCTAGGTTTAAAATCCCGACACATGCATGAATGCCACTCGGCACCGCGCTTCGGAGACCTTGGGATAATGAGACGGAGATGGTAGTTCCTGACGAAACCCGAAACCTACCTCAGTCCAGATATTATCCCCGTCGACGATCCCGATCGCCACCCCGGGCACATGCCACTCCTCCAGCAGCTCGCCGACATGCTTCGCATACTCCTCGGTGAATGGGCTGCCCCGCACGCCCTTCAAGTTGTCCTCACCCGAGGTGATGGGCTTCTGAGACTCACCCCGCGCCACCGCGGCGCAGAGCGCCGCGAGTGCGACCTGAGCTGTGGCACGCATCTTGTGTGTGTGTGTCGTCACGATGTGATGTTCATCTAGAAGGACGATCCCGGTGATATTACCAGCCGGCTGGTAGGAGCTGAGTGGCTTTTTAACTACAGTATTCTCCTTGGCAAGGGGCCGCGGAGACTATGCCCGTCTGACACGCCTGTGCATCAGTGACGTGACGCGGCAGGATTCAAGGCGGGACCCCAATCCTGCCGGCGATAAGCAATAGACTCCATGTCGACTCTTCTTGGGGCGCGCTTCTCTCACCGACATGCGGAGTTCATTCATTCCGATGGTTTGACAAATATGTATTTCATTTCACATGTCGTATTTCTACCGGTGTTATGTGCATTGTATCTTTTTCAAGGAGCTGCCAGTAGGTCTTTGTGCGTTTGCCACTTTATTCTCAGCGCGTCGTGTATTACGGCTTCGGACGTACATGAAATATCTAGGTAGGAACGAAACCAGATACTTTCAATTTTCTCCGTAGGACACAGATGCATATAGTAGACAATATGGGGGCGTCATGTATTCGGACATCTGCAGTATAGAAGCGAGATCAGATATAGTACCTGGGTAGTTGGTTCATCTTTTATCGCCGTATATGGCCTATCGCTGCAGTCTTGGCTTATAGATTCGGGAACGTATTCAGGATTGATACCTAGGTATGTTTTTCCAGCCTCGCTCCTAGCCAATGGATTCATCCAAGTCGAGGGTCAGTTGCGTGATTGTCTTGGTGGCATCATGGACGACATGCATGTGGGCCAACCTAGTAACCGCCGACTGTAGTCTCTGGATCCACTCTCATGCAGCATGCAACTGTTGGTGATCCAAGCCTTGGCCAGCTGAAAGCAGGGCGCCACAGCTACGCCGCACACCATTTGCGACTAGTTTTTAATGGAAAGAGTATGTAAGTACCGCACTCATCAAATCGATGAGCGAGGCTTGCATACCAGATCCCGTGCTCGGCGTGCTGTCACACACACATCATGACCGCAACGTCAAGCCCGCCCCAGGCCCGGCGTTACCTGATCCCTGATTGGTTCCTGGAGTGCAACGTCAAGACCGCGGCAGACCTTGCTGCGGCTCCCGAGCAGATCGTCTTTTGCAACTGCGATGATTGCAAGGAGGCGAAAGACGACGACGACGACGACGACGACGAGGATGGCGGCGATGCGGGTCTCGCAGGCGGAAAGGTGTGCCCTGATGATAAAGCAGGGCCAGCTGATGCCGGGAAGGACGATGGCAGCGCCAGACAGCCCAACGACACCAGCTTCAGCTCGTCGCTCGCCAGGGAGCTGCCCGCGGACGAGATCCACTACAGGACGTTCGCGAGGCTCCGCGACATGACCGCGGCGGCGCTCGTGGCGGACCGCAGCGGGAGGCTGGTGCGGCCAGAGGGCTCGGCCGTCGTGTTCCGCCTGGAGAAGGAGCTGCCACCCATAGCAGACGACGACGACGGCTGCACCACGGGGCGGTACCTGGAGCCGGTGTGGATGGGCCGGGCCGTGGGGCGCGTCGCCAGGGCCCTCGGCGTGGCGCTGGTCGAGCTGGACTTTCAGGACCTCGAGGAGCTCGGCTGCGAGTTCCACCGCCAGGACCGCCGCGACGTGGAGGCGCGGGGGTGCGAGGGTGAGGGTGATGCCACCGCATCGGAGGGGCTGGCCTTGACGTCGGAGAGGCCCCAGGGAGATGCCGAGGGCGATGCTGAGACTGAGGGGGATGGAGGCGTGGCATGTGCTACATCAATAGGGGGAAGTGGCAACAAGGCTGAGAAGGCCCCAGACGTCAAGGAGACTCAAGAGGCCGAGGCGGACCAAGAAGACGGGGATGTCAAAAAAGCCGAGGACGCCGAAAAAGCCGAGGATGGCAAGGGAGCTGGGGAGACCAAAGAAGCTGAGGAGACCAAAGAAGCTGAGGAAACCCAAAAGGCTGAGGAGGTCCAAGAAGCTGGGGATGTCGAAGACGCAGAGGATGGCGAGGACGCGCAGGATGTCGACCACGAAGAGAATGGCGAAAACGAAGAGGATGTCGACGACAGCAATGAGAATGCTTCGACAAACCAGCAGCAATGGGAGCCCGATGTGTGCTCACTGGACGCGTTCATGCACCATTTCTTTGGTGCTCGCGCAGAGCGTTACGCCGATGGAGCGTGGTGGCAACGGACACAACTGGCTTGGACTCTTCTTCTAGACGCCGTCATGAACAAGCTTACCACAGAGGGTAAAGCTAGAGAGATGCCGGGCGGAACTCCTCGTCATCGTCAAAGCGCCGTTATATTCCACCTCGTCGACTATCGCCCTGTTGAGTACGCCCTGAAGCGACGGATCCTGGCGCGGTTTGCCGAAAAGGTGCGGGAGAGACGGAAGCAGGGCGACGCCGTGGTCATGATTGTGTCTACCAAGGATTATGTGTTGGACCCGGGCGAGAGATTGCAGAGGAAGATTGGAGCCACGAAAGCGTCAAATATGTTTGCGCGCGACGTCAAGATGAGCGATGAGGACTTGGCTCTTCGGGAGAAGACTTACAACGGTGCCGTCAACGCGCGGACCCTGAGGCACTGCCTGAGAGAGTGCTGTGGTCATTGCTTCCCCGCGGATCTTGTCAAGGTCACTGCGAACTGGGCGTGCTCGGAGCGCGGCAAGAGCCTCAGGACGTTTGGAAGCTCCCTGTGGACGTCCGAGGATGTGGGCCACATCGTCACTCAGATCATGGGTCGGTCCTGGCTCAAGCCTGAGCTGAGATTCGCAGACATTCGAGGCGTGCTGAGACGTCTGGGATTTTATAACCCGGTCGAGCCACAGACTCAAGACGCACCGGCAAGCGCAGAGAAAGCCGGGCCCAACGACAAAGACACGGGCGATACCGCTGGAAATCCGTCTTCCGAGGACACCGAGTCCGAGGAAAAGCTTAGCGAAGTGCTCGAAGCTCTCGACCTCAACGACCTCGAGGACGAGCTGACGAAATATATAGTGGATCGTGGTAAGCAGGTGGAAGAACTTGATCCTGCCTTAGTGACCCCCCTCGCCGTGCGTCAATTGTAGAGTGCTGACATATGCCCGTTGACGGCAGAATCCTTGAAGACCGGTTGGGATGATGTGATTGTCGACGACGAAACTAAGGAGCTCATGCAGCAGTTCGTCGCCTCGCATAGTCTACAGTTCGACTGCGAATCCGAGAACCTGAGGCAAGCCCTGCGCATGCGAGGGGCACTGCTCTACGGGCCTCCCGGGACAGGCAAGACCGCGCTCAGTCGTGCCGTTGCCACGGCCTCCGGATCACGTATGATTGCTGTCAGCAGCGCCGCGCTGATTTCCCAGTTCGACGGAGAATCAGAAAAGTATATTGAAGCAGCCTTTACGCTCGCGGGCAAGCTCCACCCATGCGTGCTGTTCATCGACGAGGTCGATGCGCTTTTCTATCGACGCAGCTCTGGCGACCCGGCTCACAAGCGTGCTCAATCAAACCAGTTCCTAAGTCAATTGGATGGCCTTTCGCATGATAATAAGGCCCCACTCGTCCTTGTGGCCACGAATAGACCATGGGACCTGGACGAGGCGTTCCTGAGACGCCTCCAGCATAAGATCTACATTGGGCTACCTGACTTCCAGGCCCGCGCTCGCATCCTCGGACTGTTTCTTCACCTGGAAGACCTAGATCCGGCCGTCGATATCAACGGTCTCGCGCTGGTGACTGAGAACTACTCGGGCTCGGACCTCAAAACTCTTTGTGCCAAAGCTGGTCTGCTTTGGGAAGTAGAGCAGGCCCGCTTACAATCTCTGTACAATTCGCTCTCTGAAAAGTTTTCAGTGGCTACCAAGACACCCAAAAAGGTGCAGCTTGGCATTGACCACTTTGTCAAGGCCCTTGACCAGGTCCAGCCCAGCCATGTCGCCGGGGACCTGGCAGAAGGCCTCGAGAAGTTTTCGAGGAAGCACAATCCATCAGTCTCCACTTCAGATAAAGTGAGTTGGCAATATATAATTGTGTCCTTTCACTTCCTTGTCTTTTGCGCTGTCGAAGCGGTTGGTTGAAAGACGCTGACTTACAATTGCCTCCAGGAACCCGGCATCCGTCTCATCTACAACATCGCAACCAAGCGGCACGATAGAGTTCATGTTGGAGATCTGATCTCCAAGATTACTGCCGTGGATGATGTTCCGGCTGTAAAGCAGGACGAAACCGCAGATTATGAAAAGCAGGTGCAGGCATGGTGCCAGCTGGACCTTTTTGGTCATCTTGTGCGTCGTCTACGCACCCGTTTGGCCGTACTCTTGTTCTATTCTCAGAGAGTATTGGAACATCAGATGCAAGTGCAGGCCTGGTGTCAAATTCACATTCCAACGCATCTCATGCGTCGTTTATACAGCAACTTGGCCGCGCTCTTTTTTTGTCTCCACAACTCCAACCATTCCGCTGCGACTCTAAAGCAGGCTGCCTTGGACTCGGAGCACTCGAGATTGAGGGGCCCCGGATCAAGAACGAGACAGAAGACACGGAAGACTGTGCGAAGAAAGAGGTCTAAGCTCAAAGAAAACGTGTCGGCTGCCTTGGACCAGGGGAAATCAACAGAGGCTGGCCCCATTTCAGAAACACGACAGACGACGCAAAACACTGCGCCAGCAGACGAGTCCAAGCTCCAACAAAGCCCTCCGGCTGCCAAGACGACGAACTTCCGCTACTCGCCGCTTGGGAAAAATGAGTTCCGCCTATTGATCATCGCTCCAGGCGAGACAGACGCCCCCTTGGTGTGCGCTCTGAAGCACACATCCTTCGAATCGGACCAATGGTTCTGCGCGCTCTCGTACACCTGGGGCTCTCCCGAGCCGCCCTTCTTCATCAAGTGTAACGGGGCCGACATACGTGTCACGAGGTCTCTTTACGAGGCCTTGAGTCAGATGCGGCGGCGGAGGCTCCCCGTCATCACATGGGCCGACGCTATATGCATCAACCAGAACGACAACGCCGAGAAGGCCGAGCAGGTGATGCGCATGACGGAGATCTACTCCGGGGCCGGCCGGCTGTTCATATGGCTCGGCAACCCCGTCGTGGCTGCGGATGCCGACGTCGCTGTTGCGGCAGTGGAGAAGGCCGCGGGAATCGTGGTGTCTCTGGAGCGCCAGTGGAGGGAAAAACTACACAGCCGGACATTCTTTGAAGCGGTGTGGCAGGACAGGATACGAGCCGAGGATTTCAGCCGAAACGATTGGCAAAAACTCCAGGACTTTTTGCTCATGCCCTGGTTCTCACGCGTGTGGATCTTCCAAGAAGTAGCCTCGGTCATGGCCGTTTCGTCAGACAATGTCCGCGTAGGGTACGGAAACCGCGTCGTTGGCTGGGAGCCGGTCTCCAGCGTCATGGGGATTCCCGAACCGTTCAAAACTGTCAACCCAGTCAGCGTCCGCTGGCTCACCGCCGCCTCGATGGAGAGGGAGTTGTTCACGGAAGCAAAGTCGCGCAACGTTAACTTCTTCCTCCCGACGACTGATGAGGTTACGGAAGAGGACGTGGCCGAGGCTCTTGGGCGCAAGCATGGTGGTCACGCCCTGGGAGCGCATGAGCGCCAAGGCAAATTGTCTGCCAGCGTCGCCATCGTAGTCGACCTCTGCAGGCTTCATTTTCCGAGACTTGAGAAGTCTACGTTGGAGAAGTATACGTTCACTCAGCTGGACACAAAATTAATGGTGGAGGCAGTTTCTACCATATTCTTAAGTGGTCCGTTGTCTCTAAGTCTCTCCATTCCGAAGCTCTCATTGTTTTCAGACACGCTTATCCCACATCTACTATCCATGATCCTCCAACTTCAATAAGCAGACTGCTTTCTATTAGCATGGCCTCAAATCACTTTCCAAGTTCTCAGATACGCACTGCTTGTGACAGATATCCTATTGGTAGCTAACTTCAGCCGACTACAGAGTCTCAAGGGATGGCCACGAAGCATTTGAAAGAGTATGTGATACTCGATGGGCTCGCCGAATCAGCCTTAGTGTACTTCCACCAAACCGGGGATGGTGACGAGTGGTGGGAGCCGGGGAATCCCGCCTTGTTGAAATTACGGCGCCTGATCGGCTTCATCACTGATGCCTCCTTGAGACACACGAGTGGAGGTGGTGCCCTCATCACCGTTGGATTCAAAACCTCAACTTTCAGCTACATCCCCGGCATCAGATACAGGATGTGGCCGCGTATAGAGCTAGCGAGGCGACTGGAAGCCACCGACCTCCGGGACAAGCTTTATGCCTTTCTCGGCATGTTCAGCGAAGACGTCGCGGACGAGCCGCTGCTCAAGGTCGATTACGATTTGAGCGTGGCTGAGGTCTACGCCAACCTCACAATCTACTTTGTCAAGCGTCTCTTGTGCCTCGATGTCTTGGAATTTGTCAACGACATGCGGACAGATAAACCACGCATATCCAACCTCCCGTCTTGGGCGGTTGATCTATCTTCACCTACCGACTTGCAACTGTTCAACATCGGACGATTCAATGCTGGCGGGGCTACTGACCTTGGCAATGCAGAATTCCCGATGCATGTGCTAGGAGTCAAGGTATCAGATGACTGCAGACGACTGGACCTCCATGCTTTCCGTGTGGGCGAAGTGACTGAGCTTGGCTTTTTACCACACCATTACCGAACCATTGAACACCTGACTGGCAACGGCGATCGCGACGACTATGAGAACATCAAAGCGGCAGAATTGAGAACATATGGCCTTGCGCTCGACATGGTCAGCAACTCAAGGTTGGGCCAAAGCACTCGGGACTGGAAGGACGTGACTAGCGAAAACCCAACGGGGAATTGTTTCTCCCCGTCAGCCATCTCCAACATGCAATCACGCCCCTACCTCGGCGGCGAGGACATGTGTAAAGCTTTCTGGCGCTGCATTATTTGCAACCAGTTGATGTATCGGACCGAAAACAGACACGACGCCCCAATCTCACCTGAAGAAAGAGCCGCCGAAATGGAGCAGGTCTTCCTCGAATACCACAACATGATATCTGCAGGCTACATGCCGCGAGAAGTAACCCCCGGACACCCGGGCTCGGCGCCCATCGAGCCTAGCGCCAACGCCTATCTATTCTCCACCGAGTTCGAGCCGCATGCCCGGACGCGCGTCTTTGGCGTGGTGGCGGACGAGCTGATCGGGTGGTTCCCTCGCCGGGCGCAGAAGGGGGACGTGCTCGTGGTCTTCCCCGGGGCAAGGTGTCCGTACGTGCTGAGGAAGGCGCGGAGAGATTCGTGCGAGGTGGGCTTGGATCAGGATGCGGGTAAGGACGATACCGCGCGGGAACAAGACGAACGGAGTGAGTGGGAGGTTGTTGGGCATGCGTATGTGCAAGGGCTGATGGAAGATGTCGTGAGCGAATGGGAACTCGGCCTGACGGAAAACGGAAAAAGGATTTTGGGAAAGCTGAACGCTGGTGGAGAGGCGCCGGCTGCGGAGAGGATCTGTCTTGTATAAAGGTCTGCGCAGTAGATGCCGTACAGTGTCCTGATCCTTGAACTTGACGGAATGTTGCTACTCATATTACCAACCGCTGTGCAGTTGCTATCCCCATCGAATTCGGTTGAAGCGTAAACTGGTATATTTGTAGAGACTCGGTAAGGGATTCGTTGTCCGGAACCAACGTCGGTAAGGAAACCTATCCCCCCTTCGAAATTCAACTCAACCCAACGTTGCCAGTATATTATATCGAGGGGATGGACACTGACATAGAAGGATGTGTTTAGTTGCCTATAAAATACCCTGGACGGAACGAGGTTCTGTCGAATTCGCTAGGCGGCGCGATCAACAACTTTGACTTGATATTAACAAGTCTACAGAAACATTTGTTCAAGAATCTTTATACTTCAGCATACGATAGTCTAAATTAATAGCATGAAATATGCTGTGGTCCATCACATATTGAAATTGGTAACCCTCCAATCAGCCCCCCATTCACCCGGGCTCCTCGGCGTTCGCCCACAGTACCAGTGGAAACCATTAATTGGTCCAATTTGAACCAACAGTGACATGTTGGGATGAACAGGAACGAAGAATCCAGAGGTTTTGGGAGCGCTCAGCTACCCGACCCAATTTGCGCCACTTCACCGCTGCATTCTGTTCAATATGACGTTCAATCAAAGCAACCACAATCCTACCCAATAGCCACTGAGATTTCACTCTCAATTCACATCAGCGAGCCATTCACCATGGGTGGAGTGGCATCTATCGACGCGAGCCCATCAAGTAAGGTTCGGGTCATCTCGGCCGGCTATTCCCCGGACAGGCACCATATGGATATCCATGGCCCTAGATATGCTATTCAATTGCCCCGTCATTTATTATAGAAACCAAATTCTGGTCTGAGACAACCCTTGGGAATGGAAAGATGCACTGTTCCGGAAATGTCGGTCATCAATATTGACCAACCCCCGCCCCCTCCCCCCGCCCCAGACTACTGTAGCACCTGGGTCGAGGCCGGCCTGAGAGGCCCGGAACCGCGACGATTTTGAAACAACGTTGAGGATGGACCGAAGGGCCACCGCCGGGTTTGTAACGACCGCGGAACTGCTGCCTTTCGATTTCATGCCGGCGTTAATGCAGTGGTATCCGCATGCGAAGGTCATCTGGGTCAAACGAGACCCTATCAAGTAGACATAAATAGAATGCTATACTTTTAATCGCGGTTGTCAAGTGACATGCAAATTGTGCCCTAGGCGGCCACAATCAGACTTGACACTTAAAATCGCCGTGATCACTATTTCACCAAGGATAAAAATGTTGCTGTCTCTTCCGGTACATAAGATCAATTCAATTGTCATTCCATGAATCCTGAACGGCTTGAAGTAAGGCGCAGGGGTCAGGGGTGGCAGGGGAGCCATGCAGGGGTCACTGCAGGTCCCTTTATCGATAAGACTGCCACACTATTACCTCTCGCCCTAAAGCCCAAGGGGGTATGGTAACCTTCCTTCCTTCTCTTCCTCCTCAGATCTACTTCTAAAATCCACACTATTTGGCGCAAACTTCAAACCCTTGTGCCGTGAAGCCCAAGTGGCGTCTCACTTGACAACTTCGCTCATGGCCATGTCACGTGCCTCGAATGCATATGCAACTTTACTCTGCCTGGTCAGTGCAGCCTTCATCTGCCGAGCGGATAGCAGCAGTTCTGTGGTGCCACAGACGAAGAACTACATCGACACAATCCCGGGGTATGACGAGCTATCCGCATGTGCCAGCCGCGTCCTGAGCACCATTGTCAGGGACGAGAACAGCGGCTGCCAAGACACGTACGCCCTGACGAGTTACACATGTTTCTGCACCGACAGCAGCTCGTACTTTAGCAACGTGATCTCAAGAGATGTCGTGGCCGGTTGCGACTCGTCTTTTGCGGCGCCCCAGGCTACGAGCGCCCTGAGTATCTTTGATTCTTATTGTGCGCTAGGCGTGCCAGTTGGACTGGTGCCGACTCAACCATGTAAGTCAGCAAGCATATATGAAGTTCCGCGCAGTATTAGTCGAAGAAATACATTCATTTGTGAAACTGTCACGGGCGGTTACATAAAAGCCCTCTCCTGATAACATGGATTGGCAGCTCCTAGTGATCCCAATGCTAGCTCGGCATCGCCAGGTGCGAGTGCTCCAACCACCACGTCAACCCAGACGTCGGCTTCTGCGACAATCCAGCCTTCAGCGACAATCCCGCCGTCCCAGAATCGATCTGTTGATATCGGAACAGCCATTGGGGCCGCAGTTGGCGTGGCCGCTGGTCTCATAGGGCTTGCCATCGTGGTATGGTGCGCATGGAGGAGGAGATACCGCAAGGCCAAGGCCGCACGAGCACAACTATCACAATCACAACGAATGACGGGCGCAGGATATGGCTACCACCAGAGTGGTATCAAATCGGGCAATGCTACCGAAATGCCCACATACGAACATCATGTGCGGGAGATGCAGGTTCATGAGCCGCCTCACGCTTCTCAGCAGCAGGCACAGGAAGCTCTATCATATCGACCACACGAGCTGTCCGGATGATGTCCATAGAAGTAACTAGTCTCTCTAGTTGTACACCTATTATGTATATATCTAAAGATATATATAGTAATTTTAAATAGTAAGTAATATTTTAAAGAGATTATCTAATACTAGTAATAATTAATATAAGCTTATTATAAGTATATATATTATAAATATATAATATATTAAAAGAATTAAATTAGATAATTATTATAATAATTATAATTTTAAAATATATATTTATATAATTTTATATTATTACTTCTATTTAACTAGTTTTACTTTCATTCTATATACACTTAAGGAAATACATTGCACCGTTATATCAGGGGTTTAATAATAGTATTAAAAACATACTTATAGTCTGACTTAATCTCGAAGAGACGAGGACCGATAGATACTAGGGCACCTAGTGTCCTTGTTCCGGATCGTCCTGTACAACTAATACCGAAGATTTACCATCCATCTGCTCCAGAACCCGATCAAGGATTGCTTTCGGGTCCCATGCGTGAATCTCCTTGGCTCGTCGAACAACGAACCAATCCATCAACATCTTCGTCGGATCATTAAGCAAATCGAGTCTTCCCTTATACCCTCCTATAGCATTCTTTCCCCAGCACCTCTTGTCCACGGTATCCCAAAAGTATCTATCCAGCAGATTGATCTGTGCTATAGAAGTCGTAAGGGCAAACTCCGTCTCATCCTCGTCCCAGCGGTATTTCATCAGCTGAGAAAGCGGGAGCTCTTGTGCGATAGGTGTCGAGAGAGCCTGATCTTTGCTGGATCTTGAGCAAAGATGGTTGCCAAGAAGTCCGGACTTATCATTGGCTTGCAGAATTTCTTCCGCTTTTTCAAGAGCGCATTGGTATGTTCTCACTAGTTCGTGCCATTCCTTCAGGAAGTTGCCATGACGGTTGTCTTCTTCTTCCACATTTACAGCGTCGCAAGACAACTCCCCTTGGTCCGGTATGCCCCGGTCAGCGTCTGAATGAGCTTCTGAATGAGTGTCTGAATCAGCATTTGAATCAGAATCCTGGCCAATGAGCTTGTCCATAGCCTCGATCAGTAACCACCAAGGAGGGTTGGAGTAATACGTCTCAGGAGCAAAATACGTGAACTCCCAGTCGACAACTCCTACCACTACTCCGTTTTTGTCCAGTAAGACACTCTCTGGGCGGAAGTCATCCCCCCATAATCTGAAAACCTCACGGGGCTGGCCTGACTGCGCTTGCTGCCTCTCATGCAGGATCTTTCGCACGAGGTGGCGAGCAACAAATTTGTTTTTACAGTCGTCCGCCGACCCCATGAACTTTTCGTTCATAAACAGCAGCGCTGCAACATGCATATCTGCTGCGTCTGCAAGATATTCCTTTGATGACGAGTAAATTTCGTCGCGAGGGGGGAGAACAGCGACAGGAACGCTGCAGTTGACGACTTGATAGGCTGTATTATGTGGAAGAGGTGCCGAAGTAACTGCGTACTTGCCGTCATCTAGGATTTCGAGTGAGCCGATCCTGTCTGAGCTGAGCTTGTAAAGCTGTAATGAGATATCGGCCATCTGCTGGTAGAGATAGTCCCGTTTCTCTGATTCGGGTATAGAAGGAATCTTAAAGTCGGGGTCTTCAAGTGCTTGGCCAATAGTAGTAGCATGAGGGATATAGTCCATGATTATGAAGGGCACATGGAGGCGGGTTGGATTTTCCGCCGCTGTTCCCCAGCGGTAAATGTGTGGTACCGGAATGTTGGTGTGGTCGGCGACGTAGCGCATAGTTGCAACTTCAGTCTGGATCTTGTCATCAGGGTAAACACCAACCCCCGGAATTGGAAATCTGAAGAGGACGATCCCATCGTCAAATATTATCTCGATGTTGAAGTTGTATGAGCCAAAGTTCCAGGGCTCTCCGAGCCTGGGATTTGCTCCAGGACGGTGCTTGCAAACAAAGTCTATCACACTTTGGCGCAGATCAAGATCACCGTGCTCAGTGAAGAAGTAGTAGATGAAAGTGCCAACCCAAGCGTCATTGATGGTCTGCTGTATGATTTCAGGTCCGGAATCGGAGTCTGGTTGATACGCTTCCAAGGCCTTTTCAACGTCAGCGTCCGTTCCAACGAGGAAGTAGGAGCTCATAGTGACTTGAATTGATTTGGTTGGAAAATTGAATTGGAGGTGCACCACCTTGGGAGAAGCTGTTTGTGAAGGTTGCCATTAAATGGTCTGCAATGAGGGGATGGATGCCTGCAGTGGCTTAGCTGTGTTGGTCTGACATAAAGATATTAACCCTAACCTTGAAGGGGAACATAAATTCACTCCTGGCAACATAGATATCTGCTTTTATTTCTCTACAGAACAAAAATCCAAACCAATATTCTCGATTTGTGTCTATTATTCTCAGTACGGCGTCACGTTTCAGCTCACTACGAACCGCGCCGGTGCAGTCTTCTCATGTGTGGCTCTAACTTCGCCAGGCCAAGACGAAGTCTTTCAGGCGCATCCCAGGAATATGCAGGCTGTGTTGTCTCTGAAGTTGGCTGACTCATCACATGGAAGGAAGACGAGCAGTGTGATGAATGGGTGCGAACTTCGTTCCATTTGATCACACCGAAGCCCCCCAGCCGGAGAAGGACCCACATCACCCTATTTCCGGCATGCATGTATTGGTCTTACTTTAATAAAAAGAAAAAGCTGCTGGTTTGGCGATTGGCCATGGGAATACAACAGTTGTGACAATTATGGAGAAGCATGGGTATTCCATGCAAAACTATTGTAATGTCCGCTCGGAGTGACGCCAGGAAGCACAGCCAATTGCCGGGTTGATCTGCAGTGAAGGATTGGAGACCCAGTAGGCTGTAAGCGAGCATGTCTCCATCAGACGATCTTAACCCGGCAGTGCTTGTTAGAACCACCATGTGGGTCTTGAAAGCCTTGACTCCGCCGCTGCCTGTCCAAGCCCCAATTTCCCCCTCACAATCATACATTCAGGATATAAGACGTATCGCTTTTCCGGACCCAAGCGCAACCAGTCTACTAGTAGGAGGAACTCTATTGGTCCCTTGGGCTTGATGGCATGAATTGGTTGTGCTCAACCTTTGCTCCATGATTGCAATAGCACGTCGAGTCCAACAACTCCACTAGACATCGTGGGCCTAATTGATGGCTGTGGGTTTGCCTCATATTCCACGTTGGATACGATGACTTATACTACAAAACAGGTGGACACGAACTCCCCCGGGATGCCACTAATGGCAGGTTCTTCCGACAACAAAGCTGGCCGGGATGCCACAGGCATCCATGAACGACCAAGTATGACATCTACAGAGGGTGGTTGGGCAAGAGCCCATGGGTATAAGCACGGGTCGATGACCACCGGGGTGCCTCAGCTGCAACTCGGAGGGTGGTGGTGGTGGGAGCTCATCGCGATGCTACTGAGCCTGGTCAGCGCTGCCCTCCTGATACCAGTGCTGGTGAAAGTCGACGGCCTGGCGGTGGAGGACTGGCCGTATGCCATCTTGCCCAACACTTTGCTATCGATCTTGACCAACGTCACCAAGACCGCCATGATGGTTCCCATTGCCGCGTGCCTCAGCCAAATGAAATGGGACCACTTCTACCACCGGGCAAACCCGCTTGACCACCTTCAATTATATGACGAAGCGAGCCGAGGGCCTTATGGATCATTTATGCTCATTATCACAGGACGGGCAAAAGTGCTCAGCGCATGGGCTTTTGCCGTTGTCACCTTGGTAGCCCTGGGCATTGATCCAAGTACCCAGCAGACGATCGAGACTAGGACTAGACATGCCGAGATGTCGAACGTCACGGCACTCGTTGGGCTTGCACAGAACTATTCCTCGAGAGCATTCGTTTCCAGTTCATTCCAGGGTTTCAATGGTACGTGGCTTTATATTGGTCCTCTTCCGTCTCCAATAATACATACTGAGTTGTAACAGGAGCTGGGCACGAGCCCAACCTGCACACACTGGGCCTCCAAACCTCAATTTTGAATGGAGCTGCCGGGTCTCCGCCAGCTGTGGACTTTTACTGTCCAGAGCCGGCGACCGAATGTGCATGGGGTGATTTCGACACGCTGGCCGTATGTGGGACATTCAAAAATCTGACTGGCAACACTGAAGCGTACAACAAAACCTGTGTAACCACCAAGTCATCTGGTCCTGGTAATAACATCGACTGCACCTACGAATTTCCAGACAGTCTTCCGATCAACATGTCCCTCTATGCAGGTGGGAATGGAGACACATCGCTCTTTAACTCCACGTCCAACGTAAAAGGCACAAGTACAGTATTCATGGTCAACACCACAGACTCCATCAACTTCACAGCAGAGGTCTACTCGATGTCCTGGAGCTGGTGCAAAAAGACCTTCCACAACTTGACCGCCTCACCAGCAGGTCTGCACCACGCAGAAATCACCACCAGAGACCTGGTCCCATTTGCGGACAACCCCCTGTACGCAGGCCTGCTGCCGTCATATGCCTACTACAAGGAACCAGGGTCCTCAAAGCCCGAATTCAACCTCTCGGTCTCTGTCGACACGGGCCTCTTCTCCTACATCACCAAGCTCTTCACCCGAGAGCTCCGGGCCGCGACGAGGTCGAGGGACGTGGAGGACTCACTGAGCCTGGCTGAGTACATGTACCTGACCGACCTGGCCAACCTGACGACGAACATTGCCGATACCCTGACGGCGCAGCTCAGGAGTGTCAAGATGGACAACACTATGGCAGGGACAGCGGAGGGGAGGGCCTGGTACCGCGTGACGTATTACCATGTGCGCTGGCCGTGGATTATTGTCGTGTTCGCCGAGGTCGTTGCGACGGCCGTGCTGCTCGGCTCATCTATCTTCTTGACACGGAGACAGCCGCTGCTAAAGGCGTCCTCGATGGCGCTGCTGGCGTTTGGGCTACACGGCTGGTCGGACGAGGAGATACAAGGTACGGGTACACCGAGAGACCTTGATGAGGTCTCGAAGAGGATGCGGGCTCGGCTTGGACATGACGAGGAGGGGTATTTGAAGCTGTTGAAGGTTGATGATACTACAAAATGAGTCTTTTGTGGATTTGGTTATTATTTTCAACTTGTCCCATGAAGATGTATGCGAACTTGCCCTAGAATACAAGGTTGTTCATAACCCGTACACGCTCCCACGATCCACGGAATGATGTAAATGTTCCATCATGATTTACAAACAAAGATATCCTATTTTTTCTATGTACATATGGCTTATCTAAGCCTCTCAAGGCTCCCACGGCTGTTCGTGTGTTAATGACACCAAGCGCGGTGCCACTACTCGGCGTACTACGTGTGTCGATGATTCTAGTCGAAGGCGCCGTCGGGGGCGATTCTCGCTAGTCTGTGCAGCTGTCACGAGGGCTTTGGCGTCGTGTTCTTTATGGACCCTGAGGGACCAGAAACGAAACCCACCCACCTCACACGTGTTTCCGGAAACGCTTCAAAATTTTGATGCTGATACTGAATATATTGAAACCTGAACAGTCAGTTTAGAGTCGTTCCCCAGGACCTCAAGCCCACGTCGACGCCGATTGGGATATTGTTCGTGTATCCAGCGAAATCTGCTTCTGTCAAACAGCATGCCATCTCTCTTCGACTGGATCACAAATCGATTTGGTGGATTTCCAGGCAGAGACCGTCATGATGTAGCGGTGACAAAAATATCAGAGAAGGTCAAGGGGTTCTACAACCAACAGAAACCCTTCCGAATCTACCACGGGAGCACCAACACCACGCGAAATGCAACGCGGTCGCTCAGTTGCAGCATCGACATCAGCGGGCTGAACAAAGTCCTCCGCGTGAGCGCCGACAAAATGACTGCGCTGGTCGAGCCCAATGTGCCGATGGACGCCCTGGTCGCAGCGACGCTCAAGAAAGGCCTGATACCACCGGTGGTCATGGAGTTCCCCGGGATCACGGCCGGCGGCGCCTTCGCGGGGACGGGCGGCGAGTCGAGCAGTTTCCGCTGGGGTACTTTCGACAGGATAGTCAAAGGGGTCGAAATCATCCTGGGCAACGGCGACATCGTATGGGCGAGCGAGGAGCAGAGGTCAGACCTCTTCAACGGCTCGGCCGGGGCTTTTGGCACCCTCGGGGTCGTCACACTCCTCGAGGTGCAACTGGTCCCCGCAAAGAGCCAGCTCGTCAAGCTTCATTACTATCCTGTTCACAGTGCCAACGAGGCCGTCGCGAGATTTCGAGAACACTGCGGGCCTGGAACCAGTCACCAGTGGGATTATGTGGATGGCATTATGTTTAGCATGAACGCTGGAGTTGTCACCGCCGGGAGCCTACTGCCAGCTGGTGGGCAAGATAGTGCAGATGCATATGCTGTCACTGCTCGGTACTCTCGGGCCATAGACAACTGGTACTACAGCGATGTCCAGGCCAAGCTGGAGGCGAGACCGGAGGGATGGGTTGATGTTGTCCCCATCAAGGACTATCTATTCCGGTACGATCGCGGCGCCTTTTGGTGCGGTCGGCAGTTTTTCGCCTACCTGTGTCTTCCATTTAACAGATTCACGCGATGGCTCCTCGACAGCTTTATGCACACGCGAAGTCTGTTCAACATGCTGCACGAGACCGACACTATGATCTATGCCGTCATACAGGATCTCTGCATCCCAGCCAAGAAGCTGGATTTCTTCGTTGCATTCACGATGATCAGTGTCAAAATATGGCCTCTGTGGCTCTGTCCCATGAGGCCTAACGCTGGCCGGGGCACCTTCCAGCTTTCTTGCAGCACGGACGAGGTTAAAGATGACCTGAAGGACGATCTTTGGATTAATGTTGGGCTATGGGGAAGGGCGCCATCCCAAAATATCCAAGAGATTGTCAAAATCAACAGGATGTTGGAAGGGGTGGTCAGAGGCATCGGGGGCTACAAATGGCTTTATGCTCAGACCTTCTATACCGAGGAAGAGTTCTGGGGCATATATGGGAAGAAGGATTATGATTCTCTGAGAGCAAAATACAACGCTAGTCACCTCCCGGACGCGTACGAAAAGGTGAGGACAGTGATCAACACCACAGGAGGAAATGGCTCCGTTAGTGGCGGTGGATGGAAGTCAGTGTGGCCCTTGGGGGCTATCGTCGCGTTTTGCGGTGCCATCACGGGATTCGTCAGTAATGAACCACTGGTGATATTAGTTTGGAACATATTGAAGCTCACAAGGTGAAGAAAATAGCTAGGTAGTTTCATCTATAATTACTATAGATATGAAAGATATATAGTACCATTAGATAGTTCTGAATATTCAAGATCTGGGAGTTACAAAGGATAATATCAATAATACGAAAAACAGAAACCGCACATAAATATATAATGTGGCTAATGCTAAAAGATTGCCCAAGCCCAGGGGTTGAACCTGGATCTCCTCCTCCCTTACGGGCATACTTCCGCGCAGTGAGCATCCATATGTGCCACTGAGGAATGTTACCACTACACCAGCTTGGACTAAAGTGGAGAAAGCTCTGGCACTATGAACATTCTCCCAATTGCCTCTAATGGCCGTACGGACAAAATATATGTGACGCGTTTGCACAATAGTAAACGAAGCACGTGGCCTCAGCCACGGTGCCACACAGACAAGCCCAGGAAACATCGCTCTCGACGGCGCCGCTGACTAGAATCGCGGACAGAAGTAGCCTAAGGCTAGGCTAATGGTTGGCGAAGTAGTCATGCGCTACTCAAATGTTTGATCATTTTCTGCCCATTTGTTCACTCGGTTTGACGCTTCGCGCCCAAGTGGCCATGGCGCCTGCCAAAGTTCCGAACCTTTCGATCCATGTCCCACCTAACAAAGATCAAAATGAGTAGACCCAGGCAGCCCATGGCCCAGTCCGCCAGTGTACGGAAGAAGCCACCCCGCTTGCTAGTTCCAAACACGGTTGACAGAACAAACCTCGCGAGGATGTCACATGTGATTAGCTCATGGCCACTCTCGAGGCCCTGTATGCTCTTCCTAGCCACGACCTCGGCAGTCTGACCAGGGTCGGTCTCCTCCAGCATCTTATTAACATCGGGTTTGACCAAGTTCTCGGCTTCGTAAGACTCGCCGAAGATAGTGCTTGGGAAGATAGTGTGAACCCGGATTGGCCTCCATGACGGGTTCGCTGCGGCGTACAGGTGGAGCTCCTGGGATAGGGAATCGGAAAGAGATCGGAGAGCGGTCTTGGCGGGCCCGTAAGATGTGTACCCAACCATGCTGTACAGAGCTTGGAAGGAGGAAGTGAAGACGAGATGTCTTGGGGCAGCGTCCTTCCGTCTCATTGTCTGAGCGTCTCCTGCCGGTTCGTTCGGCTCTCTTAGCCACGTCTTCAAAGCTGCGTGGGCCATGAATGCGTTTGCAAAGTAGTTGGTGGTCAACTCATCTCTAAGTCGGGAAATGTCGGTCTCGACAAACAGATGCGGGTATGCTGAACCAACAAGAGACCACACAACGTCTGGTGGCTGCCCGGAGTTCCACTCTGTTGCCTGCGACATCACGTGGATGCAGGTCTCGGCATCCGTCAAATCGGCGGGGATGAAATGAAACCGCTGTGTTTCTGGACACACCGCTGCTTCTCTTAAAGAAGCAACTCCCTCGCGGAGCCTTTTCGCGTCTCGAGCCACTATCATGACATTGGCCCCTTTCGCGGCCAGTTGCCTCGCGGCTTCGAGGCCAGTTCCACGGGAGGCTCCTGTAATGAGGACAGTCTGGAAGGTCAGCCCATTGATCAAGTACAAACAGCTTGAGCTTGCTGCAAGAGGTCGCCAATGAGGTTGACGTGGCTTTACGCACTCTTCCTTGTACAGGGAATCGGTTGGTTGACAGCGAGCTCCCCATTTTTGTTGGGCTGTCGTCCCTCTTGTTGTTCACGTTTCTTTGCGAGACACAGTTGCGTGCTGGCGAGATTATACAGCGGCGCAGAGGAAGCTGATCTGACAGGCCTTTATCTGCCACACTTTCTGGGCAAATAAGGGATGATGAGCCAACACTGCAAATTGGCCACTGTGGTTGGATGATGAGCCAACACTGTAAATTGGCCAATGTGGTTGGTGGACACCATTTTGGAGGATCACTGCCCAGCTATTGCGTGCCTTACTGCTAGAAGTGCTTAAATGTTCCCAAGAAAATGACTCCTGTTGGATTGAGAAAATCACTTCTCAATTGTGAGAATATCAGCTTGATATAGCCACTAAACCCAAGTCCTAGCGATTGGCTTCCGGGCGAGACTCTCGGAAGCGGACCACAAATATTGGCAAATCGGTATATAGAGACTCGGGAAAATGCGCGCAGTATTATTGTGGAATGCACCTAGGTGTAGTGAAAATTTCTCTTTTGGAGTAGACGAAATTACTTTTGCTAATATCTAGTGGACTTGCTCTTCCAAAGTTGGCGCAGAATCTCTCTCATTGCTGTAGTAAGTCGTTTTCACACGGGACATTCTGATCGGGCGCGGATACGAGGACGAGGACGAAGACGATGACGAGAGCGAGGATTTCGACGACAATCAAGGCCCTCCTGGACTGGGCTGGGCCGCTTGCGGTTATCGTGACCGTCTCTTGGGACAAGTGGATGGCGCGTGACGGCGCTGGGCCTGGGTGTCCGCCCACGTTGCGGAAAAGGGGTTGCAGCAGGAGGTGGTGGATGGAGAGGGCGCGGCGCGGCACAAAAATGGTGATTGTGCCTGCAACAAAGAATGCAGCCAAAGTCCAGACAGCACAGAAATCCAGCGGAAGAACGACAGCACTGGCGGCCCTGGTGCTATTTTGGGGCGCGGCCTTTCGGGCGGCGGTCAACGTGGCGGTGACCGCTTCGTTAACCCTACTGTACTCGGCTGAGAGATTGAGGAAGCTACCTAGGTATATATGTATGTGTTCAGTGGCCTAGTTTCTCAGATAGACTGCTGATAAAGGCACATCTCTCCATCAACCTTTCATGCTCAATCAAATCCTGTCTCTTCTGAACCGCATCAGAGCCCATCTCTCCATATTGAATAACGTCTTCCAGAGGGTTTTGCATTTCACCCAGTTGCTCATCTATCTTCATGGTGTCGTGCGCTGCCGCTTCAGACAGGTGGCAGTTCCCTGTACCCTGTGGGCCGCCAATGACCTGGAGGTTGAAATCCTCGCCCCCCTCTGGGAAGGATTCCGGCCAAGTGGCGTCCCCAGCGATGCCATTTTCGTGATCCGGGTGTCCCGCATAAGCAAAGTTAATGAAAGCTGCCTGAAGATACTCAGACAGCCGTCGATCCTCCTCCGACATGTGCTCCTTGGGGAAGACATTGTTGAACAGGTAGTCCAAGTCGCTTCCGTGAATGGCACCCAGCCATGGCATTCCGGCCTCGTGGAACATGGGTGTCAACATGCTCTGGTTCAAGTCGTAGAGCCGAACACTTGGAAAGCTGGGATCCCGCGTACTCGGTTGCTTTGACACATGATATCCAAAATCGATCGAGGAGCACGTGAACAGAAGATCACGCATGATGCGTGCGACACGGAAATAATGGACCGGAGCGACGGGGTCTGACTCGCTTTTTCGTGCCTCGTAGTGTTTAACATCCTGCTCGAAATCTTTGGCGGGGTATAGTGAGAACAGATTTTGGTAGTCTTCTTCCGTAAGCGAATGGGCGAAATTCTTGATAGGAGCCTTCATGTCTTCCTCGGTTTGGAAAGACGGAGCAGGTCCTGCATTGGTCGCTCCATCATCTTGAGTCCAACCAAGAACGATAGGAATGCCTTTAACGAATTTCCCTGCTCTGTAAAGCGCAGACTGGCGTTCCGGTAGGAAGTCCCCATCAATTGAGGGGATAAATGTAAAAAGACCTAAAGGAGGATGATTCTGCTGCGAATATGCCACCGCGACTTCTAGCAATTCGCTCATCGACAAATCCCTCAAGCACTGCAGAATTTGTTCATCAGAACTCGGTTCGTCTTGGACCGGGCAGCCTGCAATGTCAGCGACAGCACGAGTATGTATCTCTGTAGCATCAGATGTCATATTGAGCGCAGTGCCTGGAGGACCAGACATGGCCCATGCTTGAGTAAACGGAACCCCTTGCTCGCCCGCGTATGTCATGAGATGCAGAGACGTAAATGTTGCGCCTGAGCTGAGCCCGAACGACGTGATCTTCTCAGGGTCGCCTCCGAACGCTGCAATGTGGTCCTTAACCCATTGAAAACCAGCGCGTTGATCCCTCATCCCAACGTTCAGAGACTTTTGATCCTGGAGTATCGGAAGGCGAGCGAACCCGAAGATAGTCAGTCGGTAGTTCAGGGCGACGTGCTACAACTTGCGGGTCAGCCAGAAACTCGCAACAGTGGGTCATCGCATACAGAAAATCACCTACAATAATTGGCTTATTCTGCGATATCGAGTGTGTGATGAGGTTCTTGGGATCGACGTGCGAGTCGTCGCTGGAGCCCTTCACCACCCCACCGCCAACAAGGTGCACTACGACCGGCAGTCGGTCATTGGCAGTTGTTCCAGCTGGCCTCGTGATTCGTAAGTGAAGACAATCCTCGCTTATGTTAGGCGTCTCATCGAAGAATGGCGGAACTGCGGCTTGGAACTGAGGGCATGCCGGTCCAGGAGAAGTCCCGTCGATCTCGGCGCCACTAGGGGGGCTGTATGGCTCTGGAGGAGCGAAGCGACGCTGACCGGAGGTATCATGGGCAAACTTGATGTTGTGGAAGTCCTCCACCAAGTCCCGAGCTACACCTCGGTACGACACGCGGGTCTCCTCGAGCCTAACAACAGGCTCAGCAACGGCTCCGGCTGTCAGAGTCAAGCCCAGAAGAACGCTGCGCGACCACATCTTGCGCATTGTGACCGCCGGAGTCATAGTGATGCGGCCTCCTCTGCCATGAGATTATTGTGAAGGAGACAAGAGCAAAAGTTTGGCTTGGAACAGCTCCGCAAGATGGCTAAATACCCAACACCAAACCAACGTGTCTGCAGTTGTTGGCTGCGCTGGTGGGCCAGATGCAACATCGCGAACACTGGTAAAACTGTTGGTGCCATCTGGCCAATCAGAACCCTGGCGGAGCAAGAGGATCAACGTTTTGCAGCTAGGAGACGCCACCGATGCCAGGATTCGCCCTGTGAGTCAGACATCACTCTCATGAGCAGTTGTTTATTTGATTCAACGTTATAATCAGCCAACCTTTATTGATCTTAGCCGTCCGGGTCTCTGGATTATCTGACGTGCGTCACGACATTTATGCGTTGTAAAGCAGTATTGCGTTCCCGTTGCTCAACCCAGAAAGGAGAAACATTCATTTCGAAGAAAGTCCACCGTGAATCAGGTCGCTGATGAGAGAACACATCAGAACCAAGGTCGTGGGCAGAAAAATTTAGTGTGAACCAAAAAGAGCAGATAGATCGACATGCAGCCTCGGAACCCACAAGATTCCAGCCTTTTCCTCGAGAGGTTGCCTCTTGAGATTCGCTTGGAGATCTACTCCTACGTCTTTCATTCCGTTCGTCTGGCCTTCGGTCGGATTTCGACGCAGATCAACCCCATTTCCCCGACCAACACATTGACTGGCCATGCGAACATTTCGTCTGTCCAAATGCGGCCGCCACCGAATAGTCTCAGTTTACTCCACGTCTGCCGCAAAGTCAACCGCGAAATCGGTCATAGCTGGATAAACCAGGTACTCTTCAGCTTTGAAGGTGCGCACACGATGTTAGAAAAACTCGCCGCGCTCGAACCATCACTGCTGTCGAGGCTACGCCATATGCGGATCTCAGGGCCCTCGCCCATGCTCTCGATCGAGAGCGACCCGCCAACTATAGAATACGGATGGGCATACGTGTTCAAAGCGCTGCCTGGCTTGTGCCTGGACAGATTGACAGTCGTTGGCTCCCACGCCCCAACAGCGACAACGGACCTCCTTATTGCCGAGCAGCTGATCAAACAGAGCGACGGGTGGAGGAAACTCTATTTCATATCCCACAACTCCGCCATACTGGAGCTTACCAGGCAAGTGCGCCACCATGACCACTGGCACGCGGTGCCGCGGCTATCGAGGCTAGATCGAGCACTTGTGAGGCGTGACGGACCAACGGCGCTCGTCCGCTTTTACCGGTCGATACATGCGGCTGATCACGGGCTGATGACAACAGAGCCTGCTACTCGCGAAGCCATGTTCAGACGGGGTCCCCAGAATTGGAAAGCCTACTGCGCTCCACGTGACGCTGCGCTGAGCCAGCGTGAGGAAATGGAGAAGGGAGTACTGCTCATTGCGCACAGAGGGAGGGACGTGAACTACACCGTGGAACCGCTGCCGAGCGGTATCAAAAATGTCAAGGTACTGAAGCGCAGGAAGAGACCTAACAACCGCCAGATGGGCGTCATGGTGGACACTTACAAACACGTGGATGACTATGAGTAGACACCTTTGCATTTTCCAAGCCGAGCTTGTAGACACGATGGGCCCGTGGGGAGAACATGATCAACTACTATGTGCTTTAGTTTCGCGTAGTATGCGCTAGGTTACGTACGCGTTCGTATTTCCTAGAATTCCAAGACCCAGTTCCGATCAAGCCGTTTCAATATGTCTCATTTGCCAGGGCTGGCATCGACATAGCAACTTTAATATAGAACTGCCCCACCGTTTATGACCCCGCCAACGGTCGTAGATCAAGCTATTATTGAACGATTTAATGGGCCTGGACCAATCGCCCGGGCGGGTCCTAGTCGTCTAGGCAGCGTGAACAACACACAATCTAGCGGAACCCTGCTGTGGATCATGCCACGAAACCAGCGGCTAAGATGGTTTCGACTCTGTCCGTCAAGTTGAGAATGAGACGCATGGAATTCGAATATGCACCATTGTACAGCTTACAGTCCAACGCTTGACATTTACATTGACATGTACTTAGGTATGTTAGAGGAAAACCTTTCGAAGAATAGATCCAGTTACAAAGTTTAGGCTAGGCTCTGGGCGTGCCATTCGTGCCATCCGGCTGGAGTAGCATTGTCTCGGTGCCCACAGCACTGAGTGGATACTAACTGCAAGGTTTCTGGGTATGGGATACGTGGGGCACGTATTCGTATGTCGCCAACACCTCATCACTACCGGAGGACCCGTCATCCTTCGCGGCAGGGCCTTGCTGATTTGCCCACGTATTGATTTCTAAGCCCTTTACGTTGTACGTCGTCTGCGTAACTTCCCTTCAAGTTCCAGAAGACGCACAAGGCCTGCGGCAGGACGGCAGTCTCCGGATGTTATGAGCTTCTTAGGCGGTCTAGATCTTGGTGCTTTCCCGGCTGGTACCGTACCAGACGTTGTGAGGCCAAACTTCACAAACCCGCCAACATACGCACCTGCTGTGCTCGGTGTCTCCATCGTGGTGCTGTTCTTCGCACCCTTGTCCACAGGATGTCGCCTGTTTGCCAACCGGAAGAAGCTCCCGTAGACGGCTCGCATGTCTCCTTTTTCGGCCGATTCCTAAAATCTTTGGCCTATGCGATTCAAGTTGACGTTTCCCGGACTTCAATACATCGGCTCTTGTATTTTCTGTCGCGCCAAACGGTATCATTCTTTGTCGTGCGTCTCTGAGCCCGGCCAATTGTCGTCGCCAGCGGCATTGATTTCGGATTAGCCTACCTAGGTCACCCTTATTACACTAGAACTCAAAGATATACGCCACCAGTGGGCCATCCCTGCATGTTGGTCCCTTGATGACTATGTCAAAGTGGGTTGTCACAGCCGCAGCCCTGCCAAGCTTCCTAATACGCCAGTTGCTGGCGCCCGGAAACTTTAACGAGTCGTGATCTACCGGCTATTTTGGCGGTCCATGCATATTGACAATCAATATCATGTACTAGTTGAACCTCAGCCAGGCGCCGCTGACTACGCCGGGTCGAATGTTCTCCAAGGCATCTCTACTCCTGTTATGCCTTTAGACATTTCAAATCCGAAATGGTATGCGGCTAGCCATTGGGATCGGATTCGTGGCCATCGTCCTCGTTTGTCTTCCGGCTGTTGCCCTGGCAGGTTACTACAATACCCCAAACCCCGGACAAACATGGGACGATGTGATGCTCAGTGGGAAGCCAATAGATGGTATCTACGGGGTGATCATGCAGTCTGTCCTGGCCATCATCCTGGACCTATACATCTTCATATTGCCTACATCATACCCAAGACTGGAATGAGCAGTGCCATTTTCACTCCAATCTTGTTTTCTGGTCCAAATCTCAGTGGAAAAGCGATAGTATCTGTTCGTCGGCTTCGGGTGACTGGCCATGAAACACGACACATATCCCAAACCTGGGTGGGCGGGAAAAAGGTAATCGTGCCTTTGGAGTAGGAATCCCGGCGCTTACGGTTGTGGCACAAAGTAACCCATCAGCGCAAAATCAATGTCAATACTGAATTATTGTTGATCAAACTCAATCTTCATCAGGTACGACGAGTCATCATCAGCTATGATCGCTATCACCGGGTGCCTTGGAAGCCAACTCTTGATCAGCACATCCCACCAGCAATCGGAGACCGTGCATGTACCCCATGATCACAACATATGAATTAGATTTAGAATCTGCGCCCCATCCAGCGTGCAGTGTTCCGCACCACGTTCCGAAAACCGCCTCTTACGCGCACCAGTCGGGCTGATATAAATATATATAAATTACAATCCAGACCGTGGAAGTCGATTTCGGTGTTCCGACGGGCAGCGACTGATGAAGTTGGCGAGAGGCGTACAATACAGCGCCAATAGACAGTTTGGCTGGCATTGAAGGGTGAATGGTTCCGCTTCCATTCCGCATACGTCCGAGGACATGTCATTGAAGCATACATGAGGGGTTTCAAAGAGCCCTGAGGGGAGGCACATCCGTGTTTTGCGATCTCGGGTCAACTAGGCATGAAGTACTTTCGTCATACCTCGCGGCACTAAAATCTGAATCCATCATCTTCATTGAGACTCTAGACACCCGGTCTTAAAGTCTTGACATTAACATGAAATGAGTGCGCAAGACAAGCATCGGGCGGGAATAGGAATCCCCTCTAAGTCTCATTAACATTACCATGAAGTGCGGGCAAGACAAGCTTCCAAGTTTCCGGCGGGATTATGAATCCCCTCCTTGAGGTCAGAACACAGCCACCGCATTGACTTCCCGAATCATACGAAGCTTATCCGCATTGTCATTTTGAAATATATAACTTCTCCATAGGTGAGAAAGCGAGGGTGCGCATCTGTTTGAAGTCCGAATGTTGGGCACGCACCCGAAGCCACGCCCCCCATGCTGAATGTACCAGGAATCATTTGATACCGGAAAGAAATCCAAGAAATCGGACTTCCCCATAAATACCAGTCACAATCCTTGGGAAATAATAAACCAAGCAGACACGCCACCGCCCGTCCCCGAAGTTTGCCCGCTGCCAGAGTTTGGAGACTTTCGGCAAGCACCGCAGCAAAACAGGAATACGCATGCTAAGATCCTCCACGCGTTGGCTAGGAGCATGCAGGCATGACTCGCGACGGTGCCATCGTTGCATCAGATCTGGGAACCATCCTGCAGCACGGATAAGCCTTTTTGCATCCTCGAACTCGCATCGAGGGCAGCCAGGCCGGTCGGAGAAGGGGTCCACAAAGCCTAACTGGCTTCTTTCTCTGTACAGAATGTCTGGTTCCCCACCGCCCCCATTGCCATCGAGGCCTCAAACACTATTTCCCCGAACCTGTGGGCACCGCTCTCCCGGCGATTCGAAGCCACACGGCACCGGCACGAGATGGGAGCGAGCGGCGAGACGGGTCCCGTCGCGGACGCGGTGTCGATACCCATACTCATGACCATGAGCGGGTTCATCGCCGTCGCGTGCTACAACAGCATCGAGCAGTTCTTCATCATCTTCCGGACCTTCCGGCGCCGCAGCGGGCTCTACTTCTGGTCCATGATCGCCGTGGCCTTTGGCATCCCCTTCCACGTGCTGCCCAACATCCTCCGCTTCTTCGGCACCGTGCCCAACGGCAACCTGGCCATGAGCGCGCTGCTCTCCGTCGGGTGGTGGCTCATGGTCACCGGCCAGTCGGTCGTCCTGTACTCGCGCCTCAACCTGGTCGTCGCCAGCCACTGGAAGCTGCACGGCGTGCTTGGCATGATCGCCTTTGTCTTTGTCGGCGTCCAGCTCCCCACGACCGCATTCTTCCTCGCCTGCAACTGGCCCGACCCGGTTATAGCCCTCAGGTACAGCAACGTCTACGGTACGCGACCTTCTGGGTGACTACACACACGCATTGCCATCAGCTTTTCTGACAGGAAATACACAGCGAAGTTTGAGGCGACCCAGCTTGTCGTGATCACAGCCCTGGAGACCTTCATCTCGAGTCTATACGTCTACGAAGCGTCACACGGCCTGAAGCGGTTGGCGGCCTTGAAGAAAGACCACGTAAAGACCGTGTTCCGAGAGCTGGTTGGTCTCCTTGTCCTGGTGGTCTCCTTGGATATGACCCTCATAGTCCTCCAATTCACGAATAACTACCTGATCCAAGCGACGTGGAAGCCCGTCGTCTATAGCGTGAAGCTCAAGGTGGAAACATTGGTGCTGAACAACCTGGTCAACCTTGTCCAGTCGCGGTCATGTCTCTGCCTCGACTTCGTTGAGGAAAACTTTTCGACTCGAACCAGCAACTGGCCCAAGATCCAAGAGGGGCGCATAGCCTACCAGAACTTTTCGAGGAACAGCGTAGCGAGAAGGGGTCAGTTTCACGCAACGATATGACGATCGGAGCAGGGACGGTGACGGACTATTTATGCACCAAAACGATTCAAAGTTCAGCAGGAAGCTGTCTAGATTCCATCTTGCAGCAAAGGCAATGGTCCTGCATAGGGCTGCAAGACTAGATTTCAACCTCACCACGGCTCCAAATCCGACGCGTGCCATCGCCCTGTCGTCATGACTCGTCATATTTCAATCCTGGTGTCGTACTGCGAAACAGTGGAAGCCGGTGAAGAACTTAGGTATGTGCGTCTCCTGCAAACCATGCTGCATGATCGGCATATATAGCTGCATAGCTGACCAATACAGCCATGCTACCTATATGCTTTGGCCACGTTGTGTTACCCCTCTGGTTCTTCAGCAGATGTTGCCTCAGGGTCCTTCAGGGACAGCCAATGAAACGACTCCCTCTTCAGGGAGCTTCGCTTTCCCACGAGCCAGCACCATCTGATTCCCACGAGACATGCTCACCAGAGACAAGCTCACGGACCATCCGCCCAGATTGGAGTGCCACCCGCGGGTTGCTGAGCGTTCAGCGGTATGCGAACTGAGCTTGGGCAGGTCCTGATCAGGTTCACAAACCCGGCGACGGTCTTCTCCAACCCGCCAGGCATCAGCGGGCCAGCTACAGATTCAGGCGACAGCGCCGGGCGCTCAGTTGGGACGCTCAGAGCATGCCACCAGCCAATGACTCCCTCGAGGTTGTACTCGTCGCCAAGTAGGACGTCTCAACGGTGGAAGGCCTCATGACGAAGTGGGAATGGCCCATGCGTGGACGCTGTCGCCGACGACGAAATGGGATATCGTGTCTTTGAACACCCCAACGGGCTGTGTTCCATTCAGTGTTCTTCCGGTGCTCCCTCATGACCTTCCTGTCCTCTTCTTGTCTATACCTGTGAAGCTACTCGATCTGGAGCAAGACCGTGGACCAGGTGTTTCGCAAGGGTGTGGCCTTGGCGGCTCCGGACGGGGGTATTATGTACCTATGTATGTGCGTCGTTAGCTACCGATACTGTGGCCCAACTGACATCAAAGGGCCAGAACATGACACAGTACGTAATGGCAACGAAAGAGCACAACATTCTTGCTAAAACGTGTCTATGGAGGTAAGTGTGCCTGACGGAACGAGACCCTGCTATTACCATACTCTCACAATGTCTGCCTTTCGTGTTACAACAACAGACAAAACAGTGAATAACTATCTTGGTAGCAAAAAATGTGTCCGTCGTCACACAACTGGACTGAGGCTGTCGCACTCATCAAAATCAAGGCCGAAGGCCTGCACACACAAGAGCTCCCGGCTGATCAGGGGGATTCTTCTTTTTTCTCCCGTTGGCTTGGAACAAAATGTTGCTGCCGCCAACGGGGTCTCGACCTCCGGCTTCGCAAGTAATGCCACCTTCGGAGCGAGATGTTTTGACGTCTAAACGTCATCACTTTCAACGGTGGGCTTGATCGCCCTCTCAAGTCGACTCAACTGCTTCTTCCTCTCCGCGATCCGTTCTTGAAACCAGGACCCGAAATTCGCCGGTCTGTCGGACCATGAGAAGTTGGCTCCGCTGGGAATATCGCCACCGACCTCGGAACTGTTGCTCCCCCGAGCTGAGCAATGCCGCTTGTTGGGCTGGCTGGTGCCACTCGAATCATCCGACGACTCCGGAAGTTTTCGCTTACTGGCTCGGTCGTGTCGGATTTGCTTCGCCAATAGGGGGCTCGAAGATAGAGCTTCTTCCGGACTTGGGGTTGGTGATGGTTTCAATGACTGGACTCGACTTGCGCGGGCAACGCTTGGGCCCGGAAGCGACGGGGCTGGCAGATACGCAACAGGTGAAGGGCCTCCAGGGGTTGGAACGGAAGAACCAAAATGCCGTGGGAACTCATGGTAGGGCGCGTATGGATGGTTGGCACCATGTGGGAATTGTGAATGGGCTGGTCCAATCACGCCAGCGGGTGCGAGCCCGACGAAGCCAGAGTTGTAATGCGGCATGACGGCCGGGGGATAGACAACGGGCTGTGGAGTGTACCAGCAGTCATTGGCGTGCCAGTAATTTGGAGGGTAGAACGGCCGGAACAATGGCCCCTGGGGCATCCAGTCGGCAGGCAGCCCAGCATGATTGTTGTCAAAGTCGGCTGTGTTCGAATGACCGAATTGGTTGTGGTCCACCGCCTCTGGAGATAGCACGCTTTCTTGGCTCCCGACGTCCAAGGGCACACCCTGCTCGTTCTCGTCTCCATGCTTGACTATGATTTCGCCCTCCTCAATATCATCCTCGTCTTCGTCCTCGACTTTGATTTTGACTTCGTCTTTGATGCGCTTCCGAAGGGGTTCTCCGTTGGCGCCGGTGGCGAAAGGGTTGGGCTTGATGGCACCTGTGTTGCTGGGCGACTGGTCATTGACAAACCTCGGGAGGTCAAAGTTGAGAGAACCACCTGGACTCTGTTTCTTGTCTGCATTCAACAATGTGATGACACCCCGGACTTGTTTGACCGCTCCGTCGAGGCCTGGGAGTTCCTTCCACCTCTTGATGTCCTCACTATCGCGAGCGGGCCCCGTCAGCATCGAGGGGGCACATGCAGAGCTGGTGCTCAGCCAGAGGAAGAGGCTTGGGCCACAAACACAGTGCAACGCCGTCACCGCAAGGCAAATAGATGAAAGTCCTAAAATAATCAGACGTACCCCTCGATCAAAGCCGTCTCAATCCTCGAGAAAGCATCTTGAATGTCTGTGAGGTTCTTCACGATGGTCTGCCAATCGATGGCCGCTGCGGCGGCGGACCTGCCACTATTGCTCATCCTGCCGTGGGCAGACAGTATGTTCCGCACCCGCTTGGGAATCATACCGGTGGCGAGGTCGTAGAGGTGGAGTGGGCCGTAGCGGGTGTGCCATGGCTGGATGCCATGCTTGGACTTTGCCTTTTTCTTGCCCATCGTAGCAGGAAGATTGCGACGAGGTGGTGTGGCTTGGATAGGAGTAAAGAGTACACTGGGACTCGAGTGGCTGGCTTCCGTGGGTTCCAATGAGAGGACGTGGATGTCGATGGTGGGGGGCAAAGGGAGTGAAGAGTGGAGAGGAGAGCTCCAGGCACCGTCAGACAGAGAAGCGCAGTCAAGGGTTTGGCTGGCTGGTGTGTCCTGGTGGCAGCAGGCGCGACCGACGGTCTGGGCCAAACGGTCTGGGCCAGGGGCCTCGAAGCAGGAGCTCACCCAGCGCAGGCAAGCCTGGGCTTGCAGAAAATCAGCAGTGCTTGAGTGCCGTTACGGAAGGAAGGAAGGAGGGTGTCTGGGCCCTTGCTTCAACGACCCTCGGGACCCAGCACGGGAAACACCCGTCATCGAGGTCTGGGTGCTTCCGTTTCTGATGCCAATACCTGAGTACGTGACCCTTCACACAGTGGTAAACGCTTAAGGCCCCGCGTTTTGTGCGGCACGAGGCTGAGGCCACAGACGTGTTGTATTCTCTGTGTACTGTCATTGGCACTGAATTCTTTTAAACGCTGGGTCTTGACCGTTCATCACAGTATGAATGGGTCACATACATTTTATATGCATGGGGATTAAACGAAACCACCAACCCAGTGTTGTCTTTTTTAAACACACACACAGACACGTAGTACCAGTACATCAAGACCTGACATTCCCAAATGACTTCCCCATACCACACCTATCATCACTGCCCTTTTGCATTTCCCTTAGCTACAAACAGCCAGTCTACTTCAATTAGCACTGGCAGCGTAGGTATTGGAGGACTTGCGTGCGACAATCGAACCAGGGGCAACGGAACGAGTAGATCCGAATTAGAAAAGCTACTACCAACCTTCTTGGTAGTGGTTCGTTCTCCGGGGGGGGGGGTTCGTCAAACTCCGATGGAATTTCAAGGAAGCCGAAAGAAGTAAAAAAACAATCAAAGATCGCTTCGCGGTCAACGGGAAAGAAACCAGGGTATCATGTTCTCTTATAAAGAGCAAAAGCACAAAACGACCACCAAACCGGAGAGGCCCCATCCACCCCATCGATCCTAGCCAGACAAATCCTCCCATGCCTGGTGGGTGGGTGCGCATCAACAACGGGCGCAGAACAGCCCACGCACAAACACCTCAAGCCTTCCTCCTCAAATCCAAGATAGTCTTCAGCCTCAGCGTCCCCTTGGCACCCCACCCCGCCGGCCCAGAGTCCACCTCGGGGCGCGCCGCAGCATACCACCCCCACGCCCGGCGGTCCAGCTCCTCGGCCGGCAGCACGTCGGCCCAGCTGTCGAACAGCAGCCGCAGCGCGCCCAGCAGCAGGCCCAGGTTCGCCTCCCTCTCGGCGCCCTCGGCCCTGGCCGTCGTCCTCTTCTTCCTGGCCGCCTCGTCTTCCGCGCTGCCGAAGCTCTTGAGCAGGTAGTTGCGCGCCGCCTCGGGCCGGTGCGTCGGCATGCCCCCGGCCCCGCCGCCCGCCTTGCCGCCCCTGGCGCCCTCGAGGTCGAGGCCCCAGACCGCCTCGCCGCCCAGGCCGGCCTCGACGCCCGTCCTGCGCAGGCGCTCCGACAGCGCCTGCGTGACGACGTTGCGCATCAGCCGCCACCGGTCCGGGCCCAGCATGACGCCGCCGTACCACCGCGTCATGACGACGAGGACGTCGATGCCGTTGGTCTCGCGCAGGACGCGCAGGAGCAGCGCCCCCGCGCCCGACTCGCCGTCGTCGTGGGAGGACTCGCGCGGGTGGTTGCTTACTGACACCTCGGCCGCGCGGACGCGGTAGGCCCAGACGTTGTGGGATGCGCTCCTCAGGCCTGGCTGGGCCTCGAACAGGGCCTTGAGGAGCTTTGGCCGCTGGGACGGGTCGGTCATGGTGGTTGCGCGGGCGACGAAGGTGGATTGCTTCAGGGACACGGAGGGGCTCGTCGTCCATGTGTTGGCGTTTGCGGGCTGGGCTGCTGCTGACTCGGCTGCGTTGTCCTCGGCTTTCAATGTCGATGCTGACCCGTCGGGGTCTTTTTGCGTGGTATCCTCGCCCCCGGTGTCTTCCGCCCCTCCTGCGCGTTCCTCCTCTTCTCCCTTCCATTGGTACCCTCCTCTTTTTAACACAGCGATTTCTCGGCCCATCACCTTGATCCTCGGCTGCCCCTCGCCCCATCCCTCCTCGTCCGCGCTTGGCCCCTTATCCAGCCCTAAGCTCACGGCCTTGGAGCGCGAATTGGCGCTGACAACTGCTTGCGCAAGCGACAACCTGCTCGAGGGGGGCTGCTCGGGCATCGTATGGCGCAGGAGCTCGACCGCGAAAGCCAGTACGAGCGGGGCCCGGTTCGTCTGGATTGCCGTCTCGGCAATGCGGTCTTCGTCGGTATCGAGGGGCAGCGAGAGGGAGGCCTCGAGCTCCGCGGGGCTCACGGCGGCCGGCCCGAGCATGTAGCCACCGTCACCGCCGGAAAGCCTTGCCCTCTTGTTTGCTGATTCTTGGGTTGCTGTGCTTGGTCGTTTCCCCGTTGTGCCGGCTGACCCGGGCGAGGTCTGCATGCGCTTCAGATGGGCCTTGCAGGCGTTCTGGAATGATCGTGCAGCTTTCGCGTCCGCCATGGCCGTCTCGACTGTTTTCAATGGTGCTTCGGCAATCTGTCGGACGCTGATCAGTGTTAGAGAACCTTCGCCACGATGGCCAATTCGAGGCGCGTGGCGTGGCTTGCCTTCTTAGACTGGCACTTTGAAGGGCCTTGATCTGGGCCATGGCGTCCTTCATTGGCATCTTGCGGGCTGTCTGCAGCCGCAGCAGCTCCTGGAGGTCTTGCTGCGTCGCCATGGTCGTCTGAGGAATTGCTGCTGTGATCCCCGCTGTCGAGGTGCGAAGGCTTGCGAAGCACGAGTGTCCGACGCGCTCTTGTGCCTGGGTTCACATGACGTCGACGGTGCACGCGTCGGAAAGCGCTTGCCAACTCCCCACCCTAACCCTGTTCTGACATGCGCTGGTCCCCGTGGGGGGGGGGGATGTGATCCAGATGCGCCTCGATCGACTGTCAAGGGCCCGTAGTCCATGTGAAGATGCTTTTGTGGGCACCATGGAGTCTTAGTCTGATCCCTCGCGACGTGCCCTCCCTTCTGGAAGCCCCCTTTGAAGACGGCCCCTCAACCCGCCCTCAATACGTGGTTGTGTTCCCGTGTGTTGCGGGTTCGGTTGCTCGACACCTTGGGCGCTCTCTGGTCTTGCTCCCCCCTGGTCGCCGTTGGGTGGCGCAGGTGGGCTTGTCACGGGCCCGAGAATGTCCCTCATCCATTCCGGCATGGAGTCCTCCGGCTCGCCCTGCACCCGCCTCCTCCTCTCCTCCCTTTTACGTGCCTCCTCCTGACGTGCCTCTCGATCCCGGACCTTCCTACTCTTCTGGCCATGCTCGTCGATCCTCCCAGCCTCGAGCAGCCCCGTCACCTCCTTCCTCTTGGTCCTGTCCATCTCCTCGGCCGTGGCCGCCCTGGCAGCCGGCCTCCTGGGCATTTGAACCCCTTTCGCCAGCAGCTCGTCCGTCGCGACGAGCCAGACGGCATCGCCCGCCTCCAGGTCGGCCCGCGGCGCGAGCAGCTGGAACGCGCCCTTCGGCAGCGCGCGCAGGATCACGGCCGGGTGCATGTCCAGCCGGTCCTTGGTGAAGAGGGCCAGGTCCGCGCCGCGCAGCGGCCTGGGCGCCTTGATGTGGAACTCAACCGGGACGGTCGCCTTGACCATCTGATGCGCAGATGCTTTGCCCCTGCCTTCTTCCGAGTCGAGGAACCTGTAGACCATCCGCAGCCGCGTCCACAGGTACTGCGCGTCCTGGCTGGCGTTGAGGTAGTACTCCTTGGCCCTCAGGGCCTTGGCGGGGGTGTAGTTGAACCTGTCGGCCCGCTCGGTGTTCAGCGACCGCACCTCGTAGTCGTAGCTCTCCGGCGGTGAAGGCTTGTTGTTGAGCGGCGGGTCGCCCCTCAGGCAGAGCATGTGTCCCGGGCGGACGTGCTCGCGGAGGACAACTTTGGCGGGGATGAGCCCCAGGAATTTGTTACCCTTCCAGAGCCGGATCGGCTGGGATCCAAGCTCCGGGACCGTGAGAGGCTCATACTTGAGGAGCTTGGTTGAGCCCGGGGTGCCTTTCTGGCGGATGTGTTGCCAGTAATGTATGCATGACCGTTGCCATTGTGTGGATGCTTTGCTCGGGCATATGCTTCCGCATACACGGAATCGAGCGGGAAGCAGAGAGCACATTGGCAGCGACGAAGTGGCGATATATCATGCTGTATCAGCTTTCCAAGGTGGTCTGGTCGCACATTGTTTTTTGTAGGAGCAAAATTGATTTGGGTTGGTACGGGGTTAGGGTAAGTCATCGATTCGTGACACCCCCCCCCTCAACAGCATCGAAAGCACCGCGAGTCCAAATCTTGATGCACCACCCACACTGCTGTGTTTGGTGCTTGGATTCCTCGACTGCAGATCAATTAGAAGCAGTTCCCGAGGAGATTGCTCAACCCATTCCCATGCCCTTTGTGAATCGTTAAGGCATCACAATCGAGGTGCAGTGACACCCCAGAGGCTTGCTGTCGTTGTCCCAAGACATCATATTATAAATCGTTGTATTTCATCTTGATAGCATGCTTCTCCATCCCAGTGACACCCAATCCCTACACCCAATCCCAACTCACTCACCACCAGCCGTCTCAGGGGAGCAAGCAAACTGCCACATAACCCCCGCGCCGCAGCACGACGTACACGCCCCGTACCACTGATACGGGTCGACCGACGGCACAGGCGCGCACGCCTCGACCGTGCGGTTGGTCGCGCGCTCCACGACGGCCGTCACCTGCGGGAAGGCGTGGATGTCGATGTCGTCGTCGACACACGCCAGCTCGAGGTCGTAGTACGTCGTGTTGGTCGCGTCGTCGGTGATGTTGAACGGCTTGCGGCAGATCGGGTCCAGCACGTACGTGTTGGCCACACGCACCGCCGTCCACGTCGCCGTGCCGTGGATCGCGCCGTTGCTCTCGCACAGCTCCACCACGTCCTGCGTCGTGGTCGGCGTGAAGGGCGACCAGGCGACGAACTGGTTCCCGTGCGGGTAGCTGAAGGTCCCGAGGTTGATTGTTGGGTAGGATATTGTGTCTTTTGCTGAGGCGGCGGTGGCCAGGAGGGAGGCGCCGATGAGGGTTGGGAGATGCATCTTGGTCTCGTGGCGATAGTGGCTTGGTGCGAGCACAGTGGTTTGGTGATAATTTGTGGCGTCGAGGTCACTTTGAAGATGATATCAAGCATTTAGCCAGGCTTAAATACCCGGCTGTCGTCAGACGGTGAGCCCAAGAGAAGCTTGACGTGCAGCTGCATGCCGGAATGCCGTCTACTAGCGTATTCCTTGCAGTGGATACGCCTGGCCTTCCTTGGAGTCCCTTTCCGAACTTCTAGTGTTGAAAACCTGGCAGCGTCCCTGACATCATATCACAGTCAGCTCACTGGCTGCCGGACACGAAGTCCACAGGTGGACAACCGAGTACCGGCGCTTGAGTGATGTTCTTTTCTATCTACATAGGCTATTACTGATCCCATGTCGGAGTGACTGCCGGGATTTTGAATAATTCCCCGGCGCCGCTAGCACTGTATTAACTCAGTTGATGTGTCTTACTAGGTACTATGTAGTAGTATCTCCTCATGTGCGGCACAGCGCGGCACTTGGCCACTTTAAATTGTGGTTTGGGTGTCACCCACACTGCTTATGATAATACGAGCTGCATGTATGGTTGCCTGGAATTCGGTTCTAGCCGTTGTGGGTCAGATATGCGATCCTTCTCGTATTCGATGGCTGTCTCCCAGTTCTCCATGCCTTGACATGCCGATCACTGCCAGGAGAAAGGATTTTGCGCCATGTGCAAATGCAGGTGGCCGATCAGCTGATGGCGCGAGGGTCATCAATTCAGTAATAGCACTGAGAGAAAATAGGATAACACTCACACTACGTCAAGTGAACGCCGGGCTGCTGGGCAATCGTGAGATTCTCAATCAAATTGGCGAGCAAAATTCTTCTCTCAAGGTTTGGATCGATAGTCGGGTAACATTGGCCCGGCTAGAATAATGAGATATCCTTTGAAGACCGCGGACTATATTCATCCACCCTGACTGAGATACGATTTCTGGTCCAGCACCGCTATTTATTCGGAGCTTCTTTGACATGGCGAAGCCATAGTGGTAGAAGTGAAATATCAAAATATTCAGGTGCCCATTTAGGTGCCGATGTCTCTCCGTCATCTCCCAAGGGAGAGGCGTCACCGTTCGATCCGTGCATCCGAAAAAATCTTTTGGCCTCCGGATGTTTTCAAACGAAAGCTTTAGACTAGAGAGCTCAATGAATGCATACGCAGATGAATTTTCACAATCGCTAGGAAACTACCCCCAACCTGCCAAGCGACGGCCCAGTCCCCGTAGATACTCCTACCGGGTCGAGGATGATTTCCTTGAATCTTGCACGCTTCCAACCGGTGCATTTGATCCTAGAGAAGGAAACGGCGTGAAGTCCTTAACATTTAAGCAATACCCAAGAAACGTTGTCTTCAACTTTGGAAATGGTTAGGCTCCGACATATTCAAGCCAAGTCCCTTTTCACCCCCCGTCGCATAATGGAATCGTAAACCTTACTCTTCTTCGTCTTGGTACCCATCCAGTCCGTTACTTTCCAGTAAATCATCCAACAGTCCCGCTATCTCTGCATTATTCAGATCCGCAAATGGAATATGTGTGTTCCCCTTCAGGCCTGTCTCACCTAACTTGAGCACTTGCGAATTTCCACCGTACTGGTTTATTAACGTCGAGGTCAATCGTGCCTGCGAAACAAACGCGCTATCCTCCGAACGATGATCGCCCACTACGAATTGGACCGCGGCCAGGTCGGCCAACTTCTTGAAACTTTCGAGTGGCACCACAAAAGGCCCGAAGCCGCCGGGTGCGGTCGTCACGTTGATGTTGTCGGGCAAGACGCCAAAGCCCTCGTACATCACGATGCCTTTGATGTTCGTCTCGTTCGCCTTGGTAGCAGCGATCATCGCGCGCAACGAGGCGGCCGAGTTGGTCAGGAACACAATGGCGGTTCCGATCCTGCCCGAGTCGGCGGCGATCGCCGCAGCATCTGACTGCAGCACAATGTTCTCGTTGGTGTCGTACTCAACATATCGGGCGCTCGTCGCCTGCTGCCATGCCGCCCCGTCCTCGGTGGGAAACTGCACGTCGTCCCACCACTGCGGCCACCTCGGCCCAAAGTTCCACGCCGCGAAGTTTGCCTGGTCCCGGTAGGCTGGGACGTACGTCGTTGGCTCGCACGCCCAGTTCGCCCGGCCGAGCCGCGGTGCGTCCCACAGATAGACGGGATAGTTGCGGCGCAGGAACATGTCCTTGTAGCCCTCGCCGCCGTCCCATCTGTTCTGCCAGACCTGGGTTGATGAAGAATGCCACATGACGATGCTTGTTTTGCGCGGCCTCCAGGGGATGAAATATTCCATGTAGCCATGGTCGCACGAGAGACTCATGTTTGGGTTGAGCGGACTGTGTATGATCTTGCCCCCTATCTGGAAGCCGCCCGACCTCTCCAGCATGATTGGCCGTCGTGGTTGGCTTCTTGCACAATAAGTTGTCCAAGGCAGCATCACGAGCACGAGTGTGAGGAGCTCCATGATCAATTCGGTTGAATTGGGAACAACTTGAACTGTCAGCGGGCTTCCGATTATTACATGAAAAAACGTTTAGCCCTGGGCCGGACATTCGAAGTACCAGACATTCTGTTTGGCGGATGTATCGAATCATAATTCTTCGCGTCAGCGTGGCCAAGTGACAACAGGCACGCACTCTATATGTTTTAGCTAAAAGAATGTGAACCGCCTCTCCCGCGCCGAATCAGGTGCATACCTCGGGTATCTAGCCCAATCTATTGACACACAGCTGCATGAGATTGTGTTCCACGACAGGCACGTTAACGTTACAGACCTCGAATGCAGCCGCGCGATCCTAGAAGAAAATAGCCTTTATGAGTCAATTCTAAGAAGTATTAATATTAATTACATGAACACTGCTCAGTTATGACTACGTGTATAGTAGCGAAATCGAAGTACATGAATAGGGCCAGGAGAATGGAGGATATGTCCCCGGGTGCGAGTGAGCAGCTGGCTGCCCCTGGCTGTCATGCGGTCTTGCGGCTGACTGAGAAGATGGGAGAGGGGAATTTGTCGCCGTGGGGGCGTCCCTGGCCCCATGTAGGATGCAGTGGTGCTCAGTGATGGCGTGGAGCCGGTCCCCCATCCCACTAATAATGTTGATGTCCTGTTCTCTGGCGCGGATCCTCATGACCTTGGCTCGTCTTTCGTCGTCCTTATCTCAGACTTGCTCAGGTAAGTCAATGACCCTTGGGAGCACCGGTTTGTGGAGAGCATGCACAAGATTGCAGTTAGCGTTCCAGTAGCTAACACCCCGATCTCACAGCAGTACTCAGGGCCCGTCAACAACTTTCAGACACTTTAGTATGAAGCAATCTTGTGCAGTTTTCAGATTCTCATACCTGACGCCACGGATTACCTAGGTAGGCAGCCGGCTATCCTATGTGTAGCCACACCGAAATGTCAGCAGCATTCTACCATGCGATGTTATTCTCTAGGCTGCTCTCCATGAGGATGTTGGTGCATCGGTGTTGAACAACATAGATGCACCACGACTGCGGGGTTTAATTTGGGCCAATACGGGTTGGGCGGACGGTGAACGCTGGCTGGGCTGACACTGGCTGGTGGAAATGGCCGGCGGTGTGGACCTACCCCCCATCACCAAAAGAATAAACATGGGGAAGGGGAGAAGAAGAATACCACGCCTCCTACGCTTCAGTGAGATAATTTTTGTCATGGCAGCCAAAGTCACAGCATGGGAAGACCTCGTATTCTTCCACGAGGAGGTCGACGACGAAACTGGCGAGTTCAAACACTCGACCTTTGCGCTGGTTGACGACGATGACGTCGCTTATTTCGGCGAATCAAACCACCCAAGACACAGTATCACCTTTGACCAACTCACATCTGCCCTCGTTCCAATCCCAGATAATGACGTGTTCCCAGAATGGGCGTTCCATTGCGGGAAGCTCACCCTAGCCCAGGACACCTTAATGGATTACTACATCAAACGCCCAAATCTTCCTCTGTACGACGTCTTCAAAGAACACAACGTCCTCGAACTCATACCTAAAGATCTTCTCGAAGAAGCCAGGGTAATGGAGGTGCTCGCTGAACACCCACACCCGAACATTGTCCGTTATCATGGCTGCCGAGTTCACCGTGGCCTCATTACTGGCCTCGTCCTCGACCGACACCCCAACACCCTAACTGATTACCTTAGGAACAAGATTGGCTCGTTAGACAAGGGACCCTTCATGAAGGCTCTCGAGCTGGCCATCCACCATCTGCACTCCCTCGGTCTGGCTCATAACGACGTAAACCCGGGGAACATCTTAGTTGATCTGGAGGGCATGCCGGTACTCATCGACTTCGGTTCCGCGCGCGCGATAGGTGCCAAATTGGGAACCAGCCGGGGAACCAAGGGGTGGATCGATGTATCGATGGATGATTATCACACATCGGACAAGCAGCATGATCTTTTTGCTCTGGAAAAGATTCGCGATTGGTTGGACAACCCAACATTCGACGACTAAGAATGAAAATATGTCCCTCCCCATATCCCATACCAGGCTCTTTACTACAAGGTAATTCCGCCAGTCTTAGATAACTATATGCCAAAGCCTAAGCTCCCGAAGCAATGTCTCTCACCCACATCAAATCTCAGGAAAACTTGAAATCTTCAACAGATGTTGTTAATGCGCTTGCAAATGAGTGACAGGACTAGCTCGAGAGATTTATATCAGATCGACGGGTAGTAGTTTCGTTTCTGGTCTTCATACATATAAAGCGTATGTGGCAGAGTCACCCAAAACCGAGCAAATCAAGAATCTTGGGCGAAGCGTGCGTCATCACCAAGGGAGCGTGAGCCTCTCCTGCAAGCAGGGACTAGCTCTTCTGAGTCACTTCTACAAGTACCGACTGCATCTTCAGCTTGAATTTGATCTTAGTATCGAGATATCAAACTTTTAGGTCACTATGGACGATAAAATGGCCAAGTCTGTTGCCAAGGCCCAGCTTTTGCGGACGTCACCGGACCTGCTCATGCCGGGTAGACAATATGTAAGAATGAAGGGATAGATTTCGCATGACTATAGACCTATTTAGAAGGGAGAGGACCGCCCTTTTTATAGATAAAGGTAGGTACTCTAAACACCTACTAGAATGCTATAGAAATCAAGAGAAATAACCATTCTTCGTATAAATTAGTGCCTTGTATTTAGAGGACTAAAATAGTAGTTATATTAGGCTATAGACGGACATAGAGCCGTTAATAAATAGGGTATTTTAATAGTTCCCTAGAAGCTAGATATATATAATTATTTAAATAGCTTCTTATAAAATATAGGTATTATTTAGCCTAATTTTAAGGATTTATTATTAAGAAAAACCTTTATAAAGGGATAAAAACTTAATAAATAGTTATAATTATAAGTATTTTAACTAAGTAAAACCTTTATAAGGAAAGCTTAGTTTATAAGTAAAATATAGACCGTATATATATGTTAGTAATTTTTGGCCTGATTTATTAAATGGAATAAAAAACTAAAAGTTTAAAAAGTTTGATTATATTAGTAATCGAACTTAGAACCTTTAACATATAATTATAGTTATTTTATTAGAAAGATTTTACAGTTATATTTATATGTTATTATATTTATTTGTATATAGGCACATTTTTATATAATTTAATTACTACATCTAGACTACTATACTATATATATTATAAATTATAAAATATATATAAATTTATAGGCTTATAAGTATAGGTTGGGTATAGTAGTTATAGTAGTATATAGTATATTGTGAGTTATAGGTTGAGAGAGTTACCCTAGACTTTTATCTTAAGTTACCCTAAACTTTTATTTATAAGTGCTTTTAAGGCCCATTTAGTATATCTTTAGCGTATTTTTAATAGCTTATAAAATATAGAAAAATTTCCACTTTTTTAATAAGAATTTTTAATAGTTGAAAACCTTTTAATATATAGGGTTAATTATAGTTTTTAAAGGAGAAAACAATTTATTTATAGAGAGTAAAAACTAAGTATTTTTATTAAAGAGCTTATTATTTTTTAGAAAAATACTTTTTTTTATTAGGTGTATTATAGCAGACATTTATAGTTTATTTATTATTTTAAAATATTCTTTTTATTTTAAAACCCTTTTATATATATAGAATATTTTTATATTTATTTTTTATATAAATTACACCTTTTTTTAGTTAACTTAAATTCTTACCTAACTATAAGCTTTATTAACTAGTTTACAAAGTTATTTTTATATTTATTCTAATAATTTTAACTAGATTTTCTTTAACTATATATTTATTAAAGTGATATATAATATTTATATATTTAGTTTATTTATAAAATGCTTGATTTTTAGTTAATTTTAAAGTAGTATTATTATTTTTATATATTTTACTTTTAGGAATATTATACCTAATTTTAAAGAATTATTAAAATAGGTTAATAAATTATATAAATAAATTTCTTTTAATAGCTTCTTTTAAAGCTATATATTTAACCTTATAAGTACTTAATATAGGCGTTTTTTATTATTAGGAGGACTAACTAATAGAATTAAATATTTTTTTATTTCTTATAGATAAAGAGAATATATAGCTTAAGGTAGATTTTCTATTATTTATATTATTACCCTAGCTTAAGTTATAATAACCTACTATATATAAAGTATTTTCTCCTAAATATTAGAATTTTTTATATATATTAGGGAATTTTAATAAATATTCCCATAATTTATTTAATTCTTTAAAGTACTTTATATTAAAGTTAGACATATATCTAACTAATTTAGATATTAAAAAGCATATATCTAGCCTAGTTTTTAAACTAGTATATAGAAGAGAGCCTATTTATTATTAAAAAGCTTTTATTTCTTTTTTAAAGACTTGATTTATATTTCTTTCTAAAGCTCTTTTAAGGGTATAAGGTATTAATTCCGGTTTTATTTTAATATTATTAATATAATTATTTTTAGAGATATTAAATTTTTAAAGAATTTTAGAAGTATATTAATTTTAATTTATAGTAATAATTTTATTATTTTTATTAATTTTAATATTATTTTTAAAAACTATTTAATTCTCCTTAGAAATTAAGATTTATATCCTTAGATATTATGGAAATTAAATTATTCATAATATTTATATTAGACCCTAGGATTATTATATTATTTATATAATATATAAATATTATTTATAAATTTATATTTATAAATATACCTTTATTATAAAGATATATTTTAAATCTAATTTTTATTAAAATATTAATTAAATATTTATATTATAATAAAGTACTTATTTAAGGCTATATATAGCTTTTAATAATAAAGTAGCCTTATTTTTATATTTTTCTTTATTATATATAAGGTTAGAGAGTTTAATATATATTTTATAGTTTATATTAAAGTATAAAAGGTATTTTTATATTATAACTTAATATATACTAGCCTTTATTAGTTGCTATAATTAATAGTATATTATAAGTTTCTAGCCTATAAATAGTTAAAAAGTTTTTAAAAATCTATTTTAAATTATTGTTTATAGCTATAAATAACCCATTTAGCTTTATATTTAATAGTTTTTTATTAACTATTTAACTAGATTTTATTATATTAAAATTATTTATATATTTCTTTGTTAATACTTATTTACTAGATAATATTATTTTATTTTTAGGTGGTATAATTATTTTATAAGAATTTTATTCTTTTAAATTATTTTTATTTATTATAGATTTAAGCTATAGATCTTTTTAAAAGAATTTAATATTTCTTTTATATTAGAAGGTTTAGCTATAATACTAGTTATTATAATAATAGAAGAATTATTAAAATTATTTATAATAGTATTTATATAAGTATTTTTAATAGAATATAGTTCTTTATACCCTTTTACTATTATTTTATCTTTTATAGGTGTCTCTTCCCTTATAGGAATTTTTTCTTAAATTTTATCTTTTTTTATAGGTATTTTTTCCCCTATAGGATTTTTAATATTATTTTTATTTTTAAATTTATTAGATTTATTAAGGAATTTTCCTTCTAAAATCTATATATCCTATACTAATATAGGTTTATTAGTCTTTATATCCTAGACTTTATATATATATATCTTAAAAATATAGCCTATTAAGAGACCTTTTTTATTCTTAACTTTTAGCTTAGTTTTATATTTATTATTATTATAATAAACTATAGAACCCCAAGTTCTTATATTATTAATATTAGGTATTTTATTATTTTTTATTTTATAAAGATTTTTAAAATTTAAAGAGGTATATAGGGTTATATTATATAAATATATAGTAGTTTTAAAAGCGTCTTCCCATAATATATATAGTAAATTAGAGGCTATTATTAAGCTTTAAATTTTATTTATTATAATAAGATTTAATCTTTTATAACCCTATTAGGTTCTTTTATATATATAGGAGTAGTAAAATAATATATATTATTCTTATTAAGTATGGATTTAAATTATTTATTAATAAATTTAATTTTATTATTAGAAAAGAATTCTTTAATAGATTTATTACTATTATTTTTTCTTTATTTTTAAAGTTTTTAAAGGCTTTTAAAACTTTATTTTTCCTTTTAATAAATACTTATATAGATATTTAGTCTTTTTATTAAAAATAAGATATAATATTTATATTTATTATATATAGGTGTAAGTAGTCTACCTATATTACTATATATTCTTTTAAGAATATTATATTTTTATTATTTAAACTTTTTTATTATATTTAGTTATATATTTAACTTATAAATAAATATTATATTTAAAGGTTTATAGAGTTTTAATAGAATTTTAATATTTATTTTATTACTTTTAAGTATTTATATAAATAGAATAAGACTTATATAATCTAAATAGCAGTACTAATAATATATATTATTTAAAGAGGCTATTTTCTCTTTTATATAATAAAAGTATTTATTTGTATATTATTATAATTATTATTAAATATTTTAACCTTAATATAATATAGGCTATTTTTATATTCTTTATTTATAAGTCTATTAGACTTAATAGAATAAAGTTTAGCTGTATTTCCTTCTAATATAGCTTATATAATATAACTTATAGTATTATAATTAAGTATATTTAAATCTAATAAAATATATAATATATATTTAGTACTTTAAGCTTATAGTTATTATTTAAGAATAATATATTACTTTCTTTAATATATTTAATATTTATTATACTTACTTTACTCTACTTAACTTTTTATTTATAAATTTTAATATTTTAAATAGTTTTTATTATAAAACTAATTATATTTACTCTATTATTTAATATAAATTTTATAAATATAGTTCTATATAGTCTTTATATTCTATATTAGTTATTATATTTATTATAGGTATATAAAGTATAAATAGTAATTACCTTTTATTTAAGATTTAATAGGTTAATGTTTTTAAGGTTATTAATTATTTTACTTATATTTATTTTATTTATAAATGATTTGTATAATATATAAGTAGTAGTAATTTTTAAAATTTTCTTTTAATGAATTTTCTTCCTCTTTTTATTCTTTAATTTATTAAAAGGATTAGTATTTTACCTTTTAGTTTAATAGCTATAAAGAGTAATTTATTAATCTTTTAATTTTAATTTAACCTATTAAAATTTAATTTATATATATAAGTATTTTTTCCATTATTTTCTAAGCTTTTAGTATCTTATTAGGGTTAAAAAAATAATTTTTTTAATATACCCTTTAAGTTATAGTAAGAGTACCTTATAATTTCCTTTTATTATTATTATTATTCTTTATAAATAATATTTTTATAAAAGAGTTTTTCTTTTCTTTTAATTTATTTATTAAATTAGTGAATAAAATATTAATTATATAGCTTTTAAAATTTTTCTTTAAGCTTTATATAATATTTTATATAAATTTCTTGTAATTATTATTAAGTAAATTTAATATTTAAGTAATAATTATTTATTTAGGAAGGTTAATATTATTTGTTTTTAAATTTTAGTTAATTGTTTAACCTTATTTAAATATTTTTTATAATATTAAATTCCTTTAAAAGGTATTTTATAATTCTTTTAGAATTAAATATTTAATAGTAAATTTATTAAGTTTATAAAAATCTTTAAGGGTATTCTAAGACTTTATAGTAGTATTTTTATACTTTATATATATAAAAGGTTTTTTATATATTAAATAAATTAAGGTATTAGTTTTATAGTTTTTATTAACTAAAAGATTTTATAAATTGCTATTATTTCTAGTTAGGCCTTTTTTATAAGAAAAGCTATAGCTTTTATATTCTAATATAGATAATTTTTATATTAAATAACTAGGAAATACTATATTTATTATATAAAGCTATAGGAATTTTATAAAGAATTTTTATATTTAAAAACTTTTTTATTAAGGAAAAAACTTATATTATAGAAATAAGTTAAAAACCTTATAGAGATATTTTTAAAAGTGTTTTTATTATATTTAATATATTTCTTAATTCTTTTATATTTTTTTAAGAAGTATATTTTCTTTATTTTATTTTTAAAATTAAAAGTATTTCTTATAATTTCTAATAATTAGAATTAAAAAAGAATATTAATAGGTTAAATTTTAAAATAAGGTTAAAAATATTAAAATTAGTGGTAATGTATTTTTAATATATATATTTCTTATAAAAGAGTTAAAAATTCCTTTAAATATTTTTAATATATAAAATATTAAATAAAGGTTATATTAGTAGAATTTTTATATTTAAATATAATTAATTTAATTAATTTAATAAATATTAAGGAGTTAAAATATTAAAGTATTATTAAAGGGTATTTAAAGAAGTTTAAAGTGTTATTAATTAGTTAGAATAATAATATGAATATTATTGAAAAATTAAGAAAAATTTAAGGTTTTAAGTAGTATTTTTTATAAAAAATTTGATTGAGGATTTATAGAGTAAAAATTTAAAAAGGTAGGGTTAAGAGGAGGATTTTTAGTAGATATTTAAGGAATTTTTAATAAAGAAATTGATTTGTAGGTTTTTTAAGGGAAATTAAAAAAGTTGTATAATAACTTATTAAAATTAAAAATTTAGGTAATTGAAAATAATATAGTTAAAATTTATTTGTTGAGATGAATTAAATAGTATATTTTATAATAAGGTAGGTCTTATAATAATAAAGTAATTAAGAAATATTTAGGGTTAATAGTGTTAAGATTAGGTATAGATGGCTTAAGGTGTTTATTGACTTTAATCTAAAAGGGGTAAGATTTAGTTAACCTAATTAGGAAGATAGTTAAAGGACTTAATTTAATTGGATATAGGCTTGGTAGGTTTGGTGTAATAGGTTAACTTTTAAAATAGATAAGTTAAGTTTATTATGATCTAATTAGTTAAGTATTAGGGGATATAATCTATAAGAATAAAGGGATAGATTTTATATAATTATAGACCTATTTAGAAGGGAGAGGATTGCCCTTTTTATAGATAAAGGTAGGTACTCTAAACACCTATTAGAATGCTATAGAAATCAAGAGAAATAACCATTCTTCGTATAAATTAGTGCCTTGTATTTAGAGGACTAAAATAGTAGTTATATTAGGCTATAGACGGACATAGAGCCGTTAATAAATAGGGTATTTTAACACAATAATTACTCGTGCCATGGCTCCTGATACTGGCATTCATCACATACTAATAAGTCAAGAGCTTTGATTCCATGTGCACGTATTCTTTTATTGCATTAGGACATATGAACATTCGATTGGTTCTGAATATTCAGTATTTCAGCCGGCTTCAATTTGGTTATTCGACCCTGCGTCTGAACCATGCCCGCCCCTAATTCATGCACAGCATCCTCCCGTTTGCGTTTGGACGATTCCAGGCACCGTTTACACCCGGAGACAGAGACCTTCAGTCCGTTATTAGCGGATGAAAAACGGAGAAGAACAAGATTTTGAAATGAAATCGCCGGGCTTGTGTCATAAGCAATAGAGCGCCGGTCGGCCTTGAAAGTCTATCCGACAGGGAATCCCTTCCCCTTCACTTCCCACATTTCTGGAAAGCGTATAGCCAGCAATGCGAACTGGACACGCATGACTCACGAGTCACCGGACTCAGAAAAGTCATTAAACTTTGACATTTCAATTGCTTAGCAGGCGTCAACTAGCTGCTACTGCTGAAGTATACGAGCAAGTGAGAGCGACCCGAAGATCCGGAAGCTATTTGGAGCTGTCCAAACTGAAAAGCCAGCTCCGTTGAATCCATGAATAACAACAATTCTTTCGTGCGGAGTGAAGATGCGTTGTATACCTTTTCTTTTCCCCTCTGCGGGAACTTCGGGAAGTAAAAGGAAGGAGTGTGATCGTGGTTGGGGAGAACTATGAGCATCGTGGTCGCTCTACTTGCATTGTTTGTCGATTCCATGAGTTAATGCGTCATTGATAGGAACGAAGACTGGTTGGAATGGATTGCGGGCGATTCAACGACTCGGGTGTACCTGACCATTAGGGCCGTTGACACCAAGAATCCGGGGATTGATCACTTAGGGGCACGAGTGCGCGTCATTTGCGAAACAATACGGAAGCATGTTCCTGGTGGAGAGAAGGAAGGTTAAAATTACCAACGGCCCCGATCTTGGCGCTGGCTATTGAAGCATGCTCCATGCCCAGGTGCGGAAAATATATTTCATGGCGGAGATGTCGGATGAACTTCAATGTTCGCGCTTTTGCTCCCGGGGTACTTAAATTTACCTGCGTCTGCCCTTCACCCAGAAGGAAGGTTGTCTAGTCCGCAACCCCACGTCTCTTCACTCTTCTTAGCTTGCCTGATTTTACTACGATCTTGACAGTTCGGATCAATCAACCCATTTTAAGTACAGAAACGTCACAATGGTCTCCGTCAAATCCGTCGCGAGCATTGCTCTCTCTCTCGGGATGGCCTCAGCCCAGTCACCAGCCACCATCAGCTTCAACCCCGTGTACGACTCTGCATTTGCTGTCGCCAATACAGCATGTGGAGGTGCAGAAGGACCAAACCCCTTCTCGACATTGACCGCCTCTAAGGGTTGGACCACCCTCGACCAGATCCAGGCCAACCTGGTCGCATCACCGCTTGCGGTTAACCGGACTGAGGTGAGTTCTTGAAGAGTTACTATTTGAAACGCCTGGATGCTGTGTTCCACGCGAGGAGTCACGGGATGTATCCTTGCATACGCCCAATTTTGCTGCAGATGCTAATACGATGGTGTCTCAGTGTGGTCAGTGCTACAGAATCACTGTCAATGGTACTAGCATCAATGCGTTGGTCGCCGATGCCGCTCAGTCTGTATGGGTCTTGGGCCAAAGCCCAGAGTGGGCTACTATCAGTGCAGGAAGCCTTGCTGGGCAGCTTGCGGGTACCGTGGAGCAGATCGCACAGAGCAACTGTGTTGCATAAAGATACTTGAGAATTGGTATGGACGACTGCACATGGTTTCTGAGACTGGAATAGATAGATGCATAATGACTTCACACGAAGGGCATGTCTGTGTATTATTGGAAGTGAGCCTGCGCCGCTGGGACCTTCGATGTTCCAAGTTACGTAGTGGCCAGGGTTGTCCCGTGAGTCACGGTAAGAAATCAGAATGGTCAGTTTATGAGTACTTAGTTAATGCATGACCGGTTGCTCGATTGATCTAGTACTCCCGAAGTTGACGTCTTCGCCTTGCTTACTGCCTCGCAATGACCAACCGTAAAGGCCAGAAAGGACAGAACAAGCGCATTTCCCAGTATGATTACGAGCCTCGTTTTTCGCGATTCCCCCCGAGAACAGCAACACAGACTCACGGAAATCACGTCTGAACACCCTGATCCATGGTGTTGATCGCAAGCATGTACGTCCGCAGATGAGATGTCCAGTCTGCCCCGTAGGAGCTCAAAACAGCCTTCGTGTCATTCGAGGACGGCGACCTGTTGCCAGCACCAATCATACGGCGGACCCCATCATGTACTGCATCTCTCTGACCTCGCCGATCAACTGCTTCTCAGATTCTGTGGCGGGCCGTGGCGAGCGTTCGAGGCGATTGGCGCCGATCAGGCCCTGGTTCATGGCGTAGCTCGGAGAGCCGCGGGGAGCGTCGAGCAGGATTTCGATGCGAGCGTCCTCGTACGTCTTGCCCAGGCTCCTGCGCCATTCGGGGCCGAAAATCAACTGCATGTTCTCTGGTGTGTCCTTGCCGGTGTATATCAGACTTCGGAGTGGTTTGCTAGGCTGAATTAGCTTGTTGATTCTGCGTGGGAAGTCGCACTGGAGAACATTACGCCATGCCCTCCATCTGGGTCGGAGATGTTGGGAAATGATGATTAACGGTTCTCATGAGTTCCCGCGCCTCAGGTGACGAGCGTGCAGTTGTATTGAGGTATCTGTGTGCGTCTTCTTTCTTGGGACGATTCGCGCGACAGGTGGGCCTGTGTGTTTTCCAGTGAGTCCGTTGGCAGTCCTGCGAGTGATACCACGCCTTGCCACACCCCGAGCATCTCCTCAGTGGCTCTGGGAAGCTATCGCCGGCAGCCGCGCATCCATGGCATCTTGTGGCGTCGCCAGGCGTGACATCAGGCTGAGAGCGGGTCTCTTGAGCAAGGGCTGTGCCATCCATATTGAATGCTGATGTGTACCAATGATTCTGGGCACAGTTTGAGGTGATAGAATAGATGAAAAGAGCTCATCCGTTTCGACATCGCCGTAATAATCTGAAGGCGGGGATGGAGTTTCAGAATAACATTTGTTGAAAAGCTTCAGAGTCGTAGGTGCCCAGGTGTCCAGTTGGGGCTCCGGCAGACTGCACCACGTGCTGCTTGGCGATTTTGAACGCTGAGTCTTGAGCGTCGACCACTGTATGAAGGCGCCGTATATGTTTTACATGTATGGGGTTGAGAGACAAAACCACTTCACGGTAGCCGTAAAATCCTTATCTCTTTGTGTGCTGTATCAGGTCAGGCATAGCTTCGTTAGGAGTCTCGAAAAATCCCCAGGCCCATTGAGCCTTGGTCGTCTGCCTGGGCGGTCTGAAGAATACTTAGCTTTTGACGACTGAGAGAATTGAAACATGGAATATATACCCAAACTCCATGAGGACCGCCACAAGCGAGCAGGCGCAATTGGCCCTGTTCAAATGAGCATCCTTCATGGCGCAATTGGCTAGCGCGTCTGACTGTTAATCAGGAGGTTGGTGGTTCGAGCCCACCTGAAGGAGTTCTTTTTGTTTTTTGTCCCTCTTGTTGATACTGCATCGACTTTTCCCTTACGAGATTGATAGCAGATATCATTCCTTTCTCTAAAAATTGGGCTCCTTGTTGTCCTCCCATTTCAGGTGGTGTATTTCATGTGCTGTTGATTTCAAAAGCTAGGTCAAGAGAAGACGTGCTTAATGAGGCACATAGGCACTGCCTATCTATAATACAAGCTCCAAAATGTAGGATCACTCGTCTTAATTGGAAACACCCAATATTATGATCCGAGCAACCTGTGTGGGCCTGAACAAAAAATCTTAAAAATGGATTATCTCAGTTCATGGCCCAAGGTGGGTCTGGACAGGATGAAAGTCGTTAGCTTAACGTCCGCGTCCTTCCTCTGGATATCAAACCGGATAGTGCATATGCGTATTCCTCACCAGGCTGGATATTTTATAGCTCTAATTAGTAAGCTAGCAAGACGAGAAGACTTTGTACTCAGGAGTCTAACATCCCTCCCCACCCACGGCGGCAACTATTCACTACAATACACTACTCTGCGCTGGCTACCCCCTGGTAACATTATCGATAACTTCCGCGGGCTTATAGCGTAGGGTGGATTCGCGGCCTCGCAGCCTCGCCGCTTATATCCCCTGGCTGCGAAGCACGAAGCAGGGACCGGAGGGAAGCTCGTGTCGACTAATGCTGCAGGCCGCATAGCCGGCCTCGAGGCGGCGATCTTCGCGGGTAACTGCCATCACCCTTTCCCCTGCAAATCACGTTACTTATCTCATAATAACTTGAGAATATTTCCAGCAGTTAGGAACGGCCGACTTTCGAGTTACGTTTCCTACATGCCGCAAGAGAGTCTAGAGTGGGGACTGAATTGAACAAGTATGTTTTTTATGAAAATTATTGTATAGGTTTGGCTCCTGGTACAGTTTGTTCAGGCTTTTTCTTCATCTGGTCGCCTTTTCCGATCCTTTTTGGATTTAATGAGGAAAGCAATGCAAACAATTATCCCCAAAACGGCAAGGGAAATGCCAAAATAGAGTGCTGCCCTGTAGCCCTTCAGCCTATCCGCCTTAGTCGTCCCGCCGTTGTTCATCCTCAATTCGATTGTTCCTGCAATTCCAAGGCTCAAAGAAATGCTGTAGTTGACGACCGTGTTAACCAGGCTGGCGGCAATACCCTGGTGTTTGCGCGAAACAGCATTGGACAAGATGAGAGTCGCGGCGGGGAAGCTCATGTCCATCCCCCAAGGCGCAATGATGAGCGAGACGAAGGTTTGAGCCCAGTATGTCTGCTCGATTGGGGCCGTTGCGATGAGAATTGTGCCGACTGCAAATGCAACAAGGGCTGCAGTCATGATAATCGGTGGGCCGATACGGTGCAGCAGAGTCCCCACGACCGCAGCAGCTATGGCTCCAGAGACTACCACGGGCGAGAAGTTGGCTGTGGCCTCCAACGGCGAAGCGTCTCGCATTTGCAACAGAAATTCCCAAGCATACCAAACCCAGACTCCGAAACATCCCCACCCGCACGCTATCGCTCCTAGGACGAACGAGACGTCGGAGCTGAGGGCGTGGAATGGAACAAGAGGCTCGGGTGAGTATTTCATTTCGATCCAGAAGAAAGCCCCGATGAATATGAGGCCGAGGACCAGCGCAACACCGATATATGGCTCGTCCCAGCCGACAAGTGGTGCCTGGTTCCATGCAAAGTTGAACAGCACGAGACCTGCAATGCCGGTGGTCGCTCCTGGGAGATCGAGATGCAGTAGCTTGCCCCGCCATGAGCTGGGCCGGTTTTCCTTGTGTGATGATGGTACCGGTGGAATCACAAAGTAGGCCACCACGGTGGTTGCGGCCAGTACCAACGAGAAGCACCAGAACGTCCATGGCCACCATGCCAGAGCGAAGACACCAGAGAATGCGGCCGCAATGACGGAGCCTGCCGGTGCAGTCGCTGCGAAGGCTGCAAAAGCCAGTGACTTCTTTAGACCGGGCTCGTAAGCCGCTCCCAAGAGCGCCAGACCATTTGGAAGGACCAGGGCAGGACCGATTCCTTGAAGGACTCTGCCAAAGACGAAGAGTACATGGCCCGAGTATACGGACAGCCCACAGACCAGACTCCATACAGAGAACCAGGCCATTCCAACCATGTAGAGTGTCTTATAGCCGAACATATCACCCAGGCGGCCGGAGAAGAGGATGAAAGTGCCAACCGTCAGACTGTAACCCGCGAGAAACCATGGCAGCTGTGATTCGGGCAGACCAAAGTCCTCGGCGATGAGGTGGATAATGGACAGGACTTGACCGAGACCGGCCTCTGCGATATTGTGTTAGCGGGACAATCAAGACTTACGGAACCCGTAGGTATTCAAAGACAAAACTTACGCGTGTAAAGCTGTGCGAGACAGACTAGAGCAACGAAAAGAAGCTCGCGATACCATGGCAGCGTCTCCGCGATGGACTGTGCCGTCTTCGTCTTTGCGAGCGCTTGGTGTTCCGGCTCGTCCCTGTCGTCGCTATCGGATTGTGGGGTGCTTCCGCCCTCGTCCTTCAGGGCTTCCGCCTTATCCATATCTTGGCGGATGTCGAAGTCTCGCCGTGTCCCCGAGTCCGTCGACATGTCTGGCCGCGTCTGCTCCTTGGGCCTGTTTGTAGTGTCTCAATTTTGTGTGAGTTGCATATCCATGTGACTGCAAAGGGGTTCCGTCTTTAAGGGCTGACGAGGATGTTGAACGTTGGAACCGGGTCGAAAACCACCTGCTGTAAAATATGCGATAGGACCCACCTGCGGGCCAGATCTGAACCATAGTCATGAACGCATAGTGGCGCTGGCAAGGCTCTGATGTGCCGTTATTCCGCATTTCCGGCGCTAACCTAGCATGTTTACGATCTTGACGGCTGCCAATTTTTTACGCGTCGATGAGCGTGGCATTCGACTCGAAACTTGACGTCTTGATAAGCACATGCAACACCGCCCTTCATTAAATCCGAGGTTGGGTGGGGACCATCACTAAGCAACTTCATGGCACCTACGGAATCAAATTCCACATTCGAACGGAGCAAGCGCTGACCGCATTGTGCCGTCCGCTGCCGTTGGAGCACAAACCGAGTCACGAACCCCTGTATCGGGCGTGGTCGCCGCCGATCTGGCCGGTTCGAGCCCCGTAAAATTAACTGGAGCCAACTCGGCCTGGAATTCGGCATGCGAAACACCAATTGTTCTCTTTTTCTTTCCCGATATCAGTTGCCGTACACACCAAGTAAGCTTGACCGATGTTCAAACTGGTTATGCTTGTCCTACTGTCCTACCCACTACGGTTTGAGCCTCACGCTGAATCGCGTCAATGATCCACAGCTCGGAGATACGATAACAGAGATCATTACTAATGTGGCTCTAATATTTTGTACGACTGCCAGCTACGTCGCTCACGTTCCCGACACATTCGAATGCTGAAGCCTGTCATTCAAAAGGTTAGTGCGCAGTCTCCAAGTATGCGAAGGCTGTGCAACACCCGAGACCAGCGGTGCTACAGCTATGGCCGAGGCCCGTCTACCGCATCTGCTGCCGTAGCGACGACAACTGGGTCCGCATCTTTGCGAGACTCGATCGACGAGTTATCCGAATCAAGCGCCCTGTTATCGACCGGCCTCTCCGGCACAAGAAGAACAGCGAATGACGTTGCAGGTATGCACACGACGAACATGACGAAAGCGACGATCAGGTTCACCATGGGCGAGACCTTGACGGCCCCGATGCCGAACGCCAGGCATGAACCGATCGACTCGAAGGACCGGACTAGTCCGACTCCCAGTGTCAGGGTCTCGATGTCGTCGAAGAATGTGCCCATGATCCAGTACACGAACATGTAGTGTGATTCGTTCATGAACCTAGCGCCATATTAGCAGGGTGCTTCGCACAGTCTGCAGATCTCTTGAGGCTAGGACTGACCGGAACAGAACATTGACAGCAAAGCCGCGGCCAAAGCCAGGGGTGGCCCAGTCCAGAGTGGGTTTTGTGTCCTCATACAGCTTCTCGTTCGCAGTCTGCCACGCGAACAACCCAAGCATGATGGTCGAAAAGCTGAACCATGTGATCCTGGCAAGGGTAGGGCGGCTGAAGCACTTCAGGTCGTAGAACCAGCCCCAGAAGGCGTTGGCGGCCGTTGCCGCGATTCCGGAGGTCAAAGAGCCGAGGGTCCTGGCCCGGACGGAAAAGTACTTGGTGAGGTAGATGCCCTGATATGTGCTGTTCCAGTTGAACCCGACTAGGATCGGGATCAGAAGGTAGAATTGCTTCCGCTTGAGCAGGCCTACCCACTTGTGGAACTCCTTCATCACTGCCTTGTTCTTGGTTGGGTCGGGGACTTTCCTGCCGTCGCGGTGGATGACCTTCTCAGGTGGTGACACGAGGAGTGCAAGAGGAAGTCCAAGGCACTGTAGGGCGATCAAAACGAGATATGTCGAAGACCCGACCTTGCCTCTTTGGCCATTTTTGACATTAAGTGACAGTTGAATGGATGAACCAATGAGCTGTCCAAGCTCACGGAGACCGAGCCAAATACCAGCTGGAGGTAATTCCGTTAGAAATGAGCTGTAAGAATTGAAGAGTCGAGAGACGACTCACTGAACTTTCCTCGGTCGTGTATGTCGGCGTATCCGAGAGCAATTGCACCCTCTGCAGCCCACAGCGCCGACGCCGCCACACCGCAGGTGGCACCGCCAAACAATACAAACCACTCTGTGCCATACCTTTATATCACTAAATCAGTAAGGAGAACAGGCAGGCTCGGAGGGTTTTGCTTGACAGGTCTCAGCATCTGGCCAACAATGCTCTGCGTCTTACCTATTGTTGACGTATAATGATGCCGAGTAAGGCGCATAACCCAGCGTTCCAATAATCAGAACTTTGTTCAGACCAATCTTGTTTGCAAGAATTGCAAAAATGGAACACCCAAAGACCATTATGCCGAATGTGAGAGCATTGGACCCGTTGACGAGATATGGCTCTTGCTGTCCACCAGCCCCCGTATCTGATGAAGCCGTTAGTCTTGTCCAATAGTTGTGTATCAGGAATACCATTCAAGCATACTGTTGAGCGCATTCCAGATACCCGGTTGCGTGAAAGAGATCAAGCCCACTAGGATGACGTTGAACAGTGGGCTTCTGAACCATCGCGTGAACTGGGACACGGGCTTTGGCGCCTCGACATCTTGGCTTGAACCCTCCTCGGGCTGCTTCACGATGTCTGTCGACATAGCAGCGGCTTTCGTCGCTGCTGGCGTAGTGGTACTCTCTGGCAATGAAAGGGAAGTGAGACAAGCATTAAATCAAGACATTTCAACATATATTTTATATGAACTATATTGCCAAGCCAGTGCGGTAAATAAATGCCCTTCCTTTTCCTATCATCACATTGAGTCGACCTTTTTCTCAGCTTGGATCCGCTGCTACACGCTTGTCTGAGGCGGGATTGGTCTCCGGTCAGGGCCTGTGGGCTTGGCTTCGACAAATAAAAGTTAGAGGCGCTCGGCTCGATGTAATACCATCCTGGCCGTTGTTAGATTTTCCAATGTGTAGGGACTGCATGTGCCCACATTTGTTTGTTGAAAACGTGGATCGGATAGGGCCGTGGTTGCGTCGTGATGCAAGGGTGCGATGGTGAGATCTGTCGTGACGGCGCCACACCCTCCCGACGGTTGTCATCTGCCGGATTCACGCCGGCCCTTGGTGGTGTAGAATGTGCCACTGGCAGAATCCACGGTCACAGTCACGGATAAGCCTGAAAATGAACATCGAGCAGGGGTGGGGGTATTAAAAAAACTTTTACATCAATAAGAAGTAAGAAAAATGATATAAATTTCTGCGACTCCTGAACGTTTCGACCCAAATCGTTGACATGGGATCCATCGCCAGGGCTTTCCGGCCGACTCCATATCGACCCCTCCGTCAAGCTGCCTGATCCTCATCCGAAGGGCACACCGAGTTCCCATCTCTCTCGCACCGCTCAAGCCCGATGCAGACATAATTGAACTCGTTGCAGGCAACGGTGGAAGAGCTGTCCTCCGGCGGCAATATCAATCAACTACTAGATACGGATGGTGCGATATACTTCCCAGACTTGGGTCCCAAGAACGCCCGTGGCCAAACAGTTTACGGATTCGTGCAGTGCACTATGCCAGAGAGTCACGGACGGGGCAAGTGTGTAGAATACTAACTGATACCTGTCGCGATGCTAAAAACGAGAGGCAATCAAAGACTACCATCAAATAATGGTTACGACAACAGGCAGAGCAGAGGACAATTCCTTTTCCCCACAATGAGCGAGCACTCGCCATATTGCGACGAGTACTGGACACGCTCCCAAGACAGCCGTTCTCGTAATGCAAACTTGATGGTACCTCACTTCGAATTCCGTACCCTCGCTCAGACTTCATACGGCGTAGGAACGTTGGTCCAGTCACCACCGTGCTCCTTCATCAGCCCCACATAGCGCGCCCACCACTTCTCAAACGCCGCCCTGTTGTACAGACGCCTCGGTGGTCCATTTCCATCACCGAACAGATCCAGGATGTGGTCGCAGTACTGCCAAACGGCCTCGAGATGCTGCGGCAGGAACGGCTTCTTGTCCAGCCGTGCCACGAGCACGGTCCCGACCTCAGACTGCCAGCCCGGCGGGGCAAAGCCAGACTCTAGCTCGATGTTCATGTAGGTGATGATCTGGTTGTCCAAGCTAGAGGGGCGCGTCTTGAACTTGGAACTGGGCAGACGGCGGAAGGCGAGGGGGATCTCCAGGGCTGCGGGCAGCGGTGCCTCGCGGCTGGCCACCTGCTGAAAGATGGGGTGGTTGCTGGGGATGGTGGTCGCCGACCACTTGGCTCCGGGGGCTCGGTCGCCGTCGCAGTGGACAATGACGGCCTTGATGTGCTCACCCGAGGGCTGCGCGATGTTTGAGGACGCGGATGCTGAGGCCTGAGCTGGCTTCGCCGCCGTTTGATGCGCAGCTGCGGGCTTAGGGGCCGCCTTATCGTCCTCTGGGTCAGAATCAAGGTTGATATAGTTCCATTTCGTGCCGGCATACTCGAAAGTTGGAAGCTGTGTCTCGTTTGACGATGCAGATGTCGGGGCTTGGGTCGGCTGTGCCGGCATTCGACGAGCAGCTGCCGGCTTCGGAGCCTTCGCTGGCTGGGCGGTCACCGGCTCCTCATCAGAGTCGGTGTCGATGTTGTCCCACTTCGAGTAGTCGATGACCATGTTGACAGATTCTGAGACCAGTTGTGTCGTGTCGAATTCGATCGATCCAAGACCGCTGTCGAAGATGTCAATGAGACGCCAATGTTGAATCTGCCCCACTGCTGTTAAGATTTTGCTGAAATCTGAATGTGCGGTGTACCGCGTACACCACTGCTGCAAGTAGCCGTTGCTCGTGACTTTCCGTGCAAACAGGACGAAGACTACCGATAGCGGATAGGACTCGGAGATCTTACTGAAGCAGTCACTGGTGAGCATGCACTACACTGCTGAGGTGCAGAAGGACAACGTCACCCCAGATGACCTGTCAAAGTTTTGTGAACAAAATTAACAGAGGCCAACGTTGCTTGAACTCAGAGCGTGATTGCATGCAAACGACTTAACAAACGGTGTGTCTGCCCAATCAAAGAGCTTAACCCACTCCCACAAACGCAGCAAAAGTGTTGCATACACACGGTATCATCTGACTCATTTGTGTCCAGCAGCTTTCCGAGGCCAGGTGTCATAGGGTATCAGATAAATGCAATGTCACTTGCGAGCTCTCTGAGAGTGGAATTCGCAGAGTTACTCATGTGTCAAATCAGAGCTGGGTCAGATATTACATGTTCTGACGACCGAAGAGCTCGGGCCCTTCCGCGTGCGCATGCCTGTCAAGTAAATCTCAACAGCCATGGACGGCTAAGATCCACCTAGTGGGCCCTATGACATTGACCATTGCCATGGGAAGGCGATTTTATATCAGGTACGCGTGATGAACGATCCGCAACAGCCGCACTCCAACCAGGCACTATGTCCAATTCAAAATTCAACCGAATAGCGTGTCTGAACGCCTAGTATCAGAAATGCAATCCCCCCCAAAATTACAAGCACAAGACGTGGTCAAGTTCTCCGGATAATGAAGTCACTTGGCACACGAAGTGAACCAGGATAAGAAGTTGACGGCGTTTGGGCCAACAGACTAGCCGCTTTTGTAGTGCAAAATCCCAATCACAATTTCGATGGTCTGGCTTACCGCCAGCCCTGCACCTGACTTCTGGTGGCAACATACGATCCACACCAGATATCGGCCCACAATCCTCCCCATCCGGAATGCAGGGACCCGGAGAATGGACCTCCACTGCGAACAACATATAACGTGGCCAGCACCTGCTTCCCTAGTATAGTGCAAAACACCTGGGCAGTAGAAGACATTATCAAAATAATAACTCAAGCTCGCACTTTTCTCTCTGCCTTGCCTGACTATTGTCGACTTTTAATCTGACGAACTCAACCTTAATTCTACCATCCGCGATTCCTTGGCATCCAAAATCACTTCAAAAGCACTTCAAAAGCAAGTCATTGTCTCAAGCTTGGATCTCGTTCTCAACACTGCAACGACCATCCAGAAGAACTCAGTGTCAAGATGGCCAACAAAAAGTCCACCGCAGAGATGACAGAGGAGGAGAGGACTGCACCCGGTGTTGCGTGGGAAGCGACCGTGACGAAAGGGATGAAGGAGACCGAGTCCGAAATGTTTCTGCAATGGCTGTCTATCATAATGATTGGCCTTGCTGTCGCCGGATACCTGTACCTATGAGCGAAGAGGTCGGCGGCATGCGCACTTCAGGACAGCAACTACGACGAAACCGACAACGATATCGGTCTAATTCGAGCGCCTTCTCGGAACCGAGGTACCTGATGTCACCGGGAATGTGCTTCGCTTGATGGTTGTGGATTGTTGAAGTCAAGGACTGAAACCGGCTTGCGGCAAACAGAGGCTGCCCAGGTGGGCAAAGCAGACCGTCCTGAAGGGACGCGTGCAGAGGGAGAAGTTGCACTGCATGGTCACATAGATCGTGCAATACGAGGTGTATAATTAGCCAGTTTCTCTGGTAAGACTAGACAGATCTTCGAAGCCGTTGCGGTTGCCCTGAACAGTAATGTATCTACGCAACACCAAGCTCGTCTACAAGAGCCGCCAGGGCTCGGTATTTTTCAAGATTAAAATGATCAAAATAAACTAATGTTGTGGCTGATAAGTCATTAATCATGTCAACTTCTTCAAACAATGTTCCTGCAGGTAGTCAGCTTGGATGAACCAGAAGACACCATTCATGTCTGTGCTGGATGTACATACTGGCTTGTGACTCGTTTCATAGTCTATGTGGACGTAAGCTCTTTCTACTGAAGGGAGCTTCTCCAGCTTGATTTGCAACGCCTCCGCGACGTCGTGCGCAATCTCGACCCTTTCGTCTTTGTTCATAACCACATCGACTTCGGCAATCAGGCGCGGGCCGCAGTAGTAAGCCCGAACGGTGTCGATCTGCTGTATCTCTGGTGAATGGGTCATGGCTGCAGGGCATCGGTCAGCCAGAACATCACAAATCACCGACTTGTGGCCGAAACCAATAATCTGAAGATGCAAAACGAAGCCGAAGGACTCACCGATGTATGTGATCAGTCGGAGTATCTCGCGCTCCGCAGACACGCCGATGATAAGCTGGAATTCGTCATATGCCGTGTGCAGCCAGAGCCCAGCTATTGTCACAGACAGTATGGTCGCGCCCATCGGGTCGATCCACCAGCGCAGCTTGCTGCCCCCAACAGAGGTCAGGATGCCGAATCCGTTGAGGAAGAGGTCGTTTCTGTGGTCCCGCCAGAGGATCTCCACCTGCGAAAAGTGCTGCTTGATGGTCCAACAGTACAGAAATAGGCAGAACTTGGTACAGAAGGCCGCCGATACGGAGATGATGGAAGGCAGGAAGAAGGGCCGCGTCTCGGCGGTGGATCCCTTGATGAACGTCTGGAGGGCCTGGACCAAAATGACGACGGACACGGTGAACATGACGAACGAAAACACGATGTTGCCTGCTGTGGAGATACGCGCCCTGCCGACAGGATATTTTGTTGGGCTGGCTTTGGTCACTGTTCGGTGTGCCATGTACAGCAAAAGTCCTGAAAACGGATCAAAGCACGAGTCGACCATGGTCGTGATCAACGACAAGGATCCCGAAGAGATAGCGGCGTAGAGCTGCAGCCCAGAGAGGCAGACGTTGGCACAGAGACTGCCCTTGACGGCAATCTGGTAGCGGAGGCCGGAAGCCTCCTGCGTGTCCTCGAGCGATTGCTGGTGCTGCTCCACAGGCATGAGAAACGACCTGATCTCCTCATTTTGCACCTCGTAGAATTCCTTGACTGGCTTTTCTGGGTGGAGCGATATCTTGCGTTTCTTCTCCACCTGAATAGATGATATCTCCGACTCTGCTTTAATCAGGGGTGACAGCCCCAGCGGATCTGAATGCGAGACTACCGGAGCTTCGACATCTCTTGCGGACCTATTGGACCGGTATTGGGAGGCCAGGGATCTGTGGCTGCGCCGACTGACCAGGGCCCTGGAGAGAGAGCTGAGGGGCAGCTCTGTCTTCTGTTCCGGCACTGACAGGTTGTTGTCCGCCATGGTTGGGGTTTGGATAGATAAAATTTGCCACTTGGACCGTAGGTGTCATGGGCCAAACATCCTCCCAAAAGTCTTCAGATGGCACCTCACCGACATTTATACGCCGCGAGCACTCCACTACAAAGAGCTCGTCAGGTTACCTCTGAGCGCGGTCGGAGCTTCAGCAATGGCAAGTATTGTCGACTATTAGTTAAAACATTGCCGTGCTAAGGGGGAAGATGAAGCGGTAGCCACCTGCAGCTTGAGGGAGCTTGTGTCCTTGGCTTCAACTTGGCGAAACCAAGGGGACCGTCGCCCTGGGGCTCCCGAGCGTCTGTTGACCCGCACCGCCAGGTTCGGTCTCGGCTTTAACACTTTAGTCAAGGCTAGGGCCGCCCACTGCATTCTTGGTTTTCTGGGCAGCCTCCTGGCAATAGCGAAAACGTCGCGCCCAGGGCTTGGGCTGCGTAGCTAAGTTCCCAATTTCTTGGTGATTGCAGCAGCTGCAGCAGCGCACGTTGCTTCGGCTTCGCTCTCGCGGATATGTGCAAGCGAAAACCCCACACCAACTTTATACCTATGCACGTAATAGTTGACACAGCTATCGTTCGGTGGTGGACTAGGCATGCATCTGTGCTTGTTAGTTCATGAAACAAATGCCGGCGAGGAAACAAATGTCGTGACATCGGACAGTGATGCGGGCCCGAGTACCGAATATTATCTTGGCACCCCGTCGTCGGCCATACGTCGGCAAGAGGCAGCCCAGAAGCCTTGCATTCATCGTTTTCTTCAGTCCTACTAACCATGAGCTTGGCAGGGCATAGAAGGTATCTTTGGGATCGCCCACCTGCCGCGAATCTCGTAGGAGTTGATCTTCGTCAAGGCTTCCTCGACCTGGGCTACGAACTCATCAAAGGTCACCATACGCTCGGAGGTAGATTGCTAGCAGGGGCGAATGCTTAGCCCATTTGATAACTCGCTCGATGAAATGAACGGCAAGGTCGACATTCCGCACCGGTCCATCTCTTTGTCTTGGAGGACTAAGTATACGACTGGTACAGCGTCACTGCCAGTGAACGTTATGGCTTAATAGAGGGACTCGAAGAATACACCTCGTCCATGCAGCTGGTCAAATTCTTGAAGACAGATGCAGCTAAGAAAAGACAGATGCAGCTAAGAAAATTGCTGTCGGGAAAGACACATTTGAATCGTAGCCCTGATCCACCGACTGTGCTACTGGCAGAGACCACATCAGGCCGCGGATAGCGTCATAACATAAAGGCATGAAAAGGTCTTTGGGATGAGATATATGACAAACGGGTGCGAAATGGAGCATCAATAGGATTTTTGAACCATTTACCGATAGTAGTCCTGGAAGGGCTGCTTTAAGACCAACTTCAATGATCGGTGTTCCCTACTCAAGGCTCATACTATTAAAAACGGGCCACCAAAGCACATAAATAGCTCTAAAGGAATACTCTACCTGACCTCCATAGGAGGACTAGTATGTAGATAGGTCTTAAGGAAAGAAAGTCTTAGAGAGAGGAATAGAAAATAAAAATTACCTAATAGAAAGAATTTTTAAGAATAAGAGAAAGAGAATAGAGTTAATTCCTTTAAAAAAAAGACTAAAGCACTAAAAAAAAGACCTCTTTTATAGACCCTTTACTAAAAATTCTATATAACCCCCTTTTCTCTATACCCTATTATACACCCCTCTTCAAACCTTTATAAGTTAGATATATAAAGGTTTATTAAAATCTAGTAGAGTGTTTAATTAGGAGTCCCTTTTATCCCTACTTTATTTCTACCTACCTATTAGTATAAGTTACTTAAATATCTATTTACTATTATTTATTATTAGCTTTATTAGTCTCTTCTATTTTTTATACCTTTTTTTTTAAGATATATATTTTAATTAGATTATTAGTATAGAAACTTACTTCTTAATAATATTATAATCTATTTAATAATAGTTAGTTTAGTTATATTTTTAATCTTTTAAATTTAACCCTTTTTAATCCTTTTATAAATAATCTTTATATTAGATTAATAGTTTTTATACTTTTAATTAGGAGAATATTAAGTAATCTTTATTATTATTAGAGAATATTAACTAATTTCTATTTAAACTTTAAAATACTAAGAGTTCCTTTATAAAAGGTTAGTATTTTAAGTGTAAATCTATTTAGGTGAATCTTTTATAATAAGTTTAAGTAGTTTTTAATTAATAGTATTATTATACTTTAAGCTTATAATATTTTATAGTTAGTTAATTATTATAAGTTAATTTAGAAAATTACTTCTTTAAGTTTCTTATAATTATTTAATTTAAGAGTTATTTCTTTCTCTTTTAGTTTTCTTTATATTATTAATTTTAAGTTTAATAATTTATTATTATAAAGGAAACTCTAATTTTTATAATTTTCTTTATTTTATTAAAGGTAATAATTAGATAATTTTTAAAAGTAAATTTATTTTTAATTTTATTTATTTTTAATTAAATTATAAATATTTATATAAGGATTATAATAGTTTTCTTTATTATTTTTAAAGGTTATTCTTAAATAAGGTTAAACTTAATTTAATTTCTATATATTTAATTTTTATTTTTAGTTTTCTTAAAAAAGTAGTATAATTTATAATATATTATCTATAGTTTATATTTAAAGATTAAAAGGTAACCTTTACTTATATAATTTAAAGCTTTTAAGTTAACCTTTTTTAATAAGGTTTAGTTTTAAATATTTTAGTATTTATATCTTTATTATAGTAAAGTTTTTTTATACCTATAAATTAAAGTAAGTATTTATAATATTTAATATATAGTAGTTATAATTATAAATAATAAGTACTTAATAATTAAAATAATAAAAGAAATTATAATAAATTAATATACCTTTATAAATTTAATTTTATTAAAAGTATTTAAAGGCTTTATATTATATTTAAAAGGTTAATTAATTAAATAAATAATATTTTAAAAGTTAATAAATTATTATTAAAAAGTATAATAATATAATTACTTTTTAACTTTTTATTTATAATTAAAAGACCCTTATAGTTATAAAGTAAAAAAGGAGGTAACTTTAATAGTATTTATAAAGATTATTAAATTTTATAGGCCTTTTAAATTTAAAGTATAAATTAATTTCTAGAAAGTTTCTTTTAATAATTACATTTATTAAATTAGACCTTATATTATTAACATTATAGTAGAGGGGTTACTTCCTTTTTTCTATATTTTATATTTTTAAGATTTAAAGCTTATTTATAAAAACTTAAGTTTTAAATAGGTCCTTTAATAAGTTAGTACTTTTACCTTACTTAAATATAGTTTAATTTTTAATATTTATTAAATTTAAGTATTATATTTTATAATAGTTATTAGTAAAATTATTATAAAAAAGTTATAATAAATACATAATAAGTGTTTATTAATTAAGATTATTTTTATTTTTAATAGAAAGTAAAAGGGTATTAGGGTTAATATATATTATAGTTTTTAAGTTATTATTTTTATTAATATATTAAAAGAGTATAAGAACTCTCTTTTTAACCCTCCTTTTAGACCTATTATTTCTTAATTTATTTATAATAGTAAAATATAAGTTTTTAAGAAAAATAAATTATATATAAAGAAATATAAATAATATAAGGGTTTTTATAAAATAAGGATTCTTATATTTTTAAAGGGTACTATATAAATAATTAAAATAATAGGTAGATTATACTAAAATATTAGGAAACTTTTATAATTTATTTAATTTTATTAAATTAATATTTAAACTTAATTAAAAAATTTAATTAAAAGGTAAATAAATTTATTAAGTTAGTATTATTATTTAAAGAAAAGTTAATATAGTTTAATAGGAAAAAGAAAGGGTAGTTTTATAAACTATTAATAGGGTTAACTTTAATATAAGTAAATTACTCTTTTAAGTTATAAGTACTTCCTTTTCTTTCTTCCTTTTTTATTAAATGGATTATTTTAATTTAATTAAGGTTAAGTTACTTACTCTTTAATTATTACTTATACCTTTAATATATTTAATATTTCTTTTATTGTTTTAATTCTTTTATTACCTTCTTCTTCTCTTTATTTATAATATTTATTATATCTTTTTTTCTATAAATCCCCTTTACCCTTTATATATATAAAACCTTATTAATTATTTTATTTATTATATTTAATAAAAGGTAGCTTCTTTAAGTTAAGTAGATTTATATAAAATAAACCTTTTATTTATTAAGTTTTTACTATTAAAAGTTTAATAATAAAAATTTAAATAAAACTTAAAGATATACCTATATATAATAATTTAATATTTTTATAAAGTATATTATCCACCTTTTAATTAAAGTTATTATATATTTTTATAACTTAAAGTATTTTTTATTAGTTTTATTTTTAAAAATATTTATTACTATTTCTTTATTAAGGGCGTTAAAATTTATAACTTAAAGAGTTATAATAATAATTAATATTATATTTAATTATTTTATAATTAGTTAAACTTAATAGCTTTAAAAGTTATTTTAATTATTTTATTAAATAAAAATTTTAATTTTCTATATTATAATATTAAGGTTTTATAGCTAATTTAATTAATAAAATATTTATTAAAAATTAGTAAATTACTATATAATAAATATATATTTTTAATTTATAGTAATAAAATTTATAAAAAGTATATTTCTTTTAATTATAGTTTTTAGTTATTAAAACCTAACTTTATATAACTATTATTTTATATAAATAAGTTATTATATAACTAGTAATATTTTTATTATATTTCTTTTTTAACTATTAATTTATTAAGAGCTTTAAGTAAAATACTTATATTAATTATATTTTTAAGTTAAAAATATAAGTATTCCTTTAATAAATACTTTATATTTATTAATATTATAAAAGTAACCTTTAATTTTAATATAAGTTTAATAAAATATTTATATTAAATATATAATTTAGATAATATATTTAAATTAAAGAGAAGTTTAATTATAATAAAGTTAGA